GGGGGGGGGGGGGGGGACGGTAATCAGGGATTGAACTCAGGGGCACTCGACCACTGAGCCACATCCTCAGCCCTATTTTATATTTTATTTTAGAGACAGGGTCTCACTGAGTTGCTTAGTGCCTCGCTTTTGCTGAGGCTGGCTCTGAACTTGTGATCCTCCTGCCTCATGAGGATTCTGAGCCTGTAGGATTACAGGAATGTGTCACTGTGCCTGGCTCTCCTATCAGAGAAAACTGCTATTGCTACTGAGAAATCTCACAAAAATGTAAAAAGTCTTTCTATTAAGTGGGCAGTAGATTCAATAACTGGGTAGCTAATGATGACATCCAGCTCTTGGAAAATTTTGAGACAGAGACCAAAAGAATGGGCTAAGAATGTAGCTCAGTGATAAAATGCTTGCCTAGCATAGATGAGGTCTGTGTTTAATCCCCAATACCTCAAAAAGTAAAAATAAAAAAATATAAATTAAAAAAAAAGATAAAGAGACATTCCTAAAACAGTTTTTATAAAATCTACCAAGTAACCTTAAATTTTACTTAAATAAAAGTAAAATTTAAATTTTACTTTTAGTAAAAATTTTTGAAAATCTCCACAAATCTTGTTACTATAAAATTAGGTTGAGAATTATTATTATTATATTTTGTATTGTTTTAAATTTAGAGACAGGGTCTCCCTGAGTTGCTCAGTGCCTTGCCTTTGCTGAGGCTGGCTTTGAACTCTCCATCCTCCTGCCTCAGCTTCCTGAGCCACTGGGATTACAGGCATGCAACATCATTTCCAGCCTAGGTTGAGAATTATTAATAGAATAATATATTAAATTCAAATAGAAACCCATTCATGTGTTACCTGCTTAAATTACATACACCTAAGGAATGGAAAAGAAAATAAGCAAAACAAGATTGGCATGTATTGATAGTTATTGGATCTGGGTAATGAGCTCTTTATTTATTACGTTCATTTCTAATGAACGTAATAACGTTCATATTTTCTATTCTGAATATGTTTGAAGATTCCCATAATAAAAAGCATAAATAAATGACATACATATGTTGTTTAAATGTTCTGGATGAAAGGAAACTATCTCTTTCTTCTATAACAAAAGCTTAGAATAGAGCTGTGGATGTTGCTCCCTTGGTAGAGTGCTTGGCTACTATGTGAGGCCCTAAGCACTGCCAAAAACAAAACACAAAATAAAAACTGAAAAATCTTAAAATAAATCAGATAAAGAAGGCTTGTTCCAGAAACTGTATTCCCTTAGTTGATCTGGATAAATATTACACAGGTTAAAAACAAAAATGCTTTTACTGTTAAACCCTTAGTCCTTAACCCAGAATTTCAAGGGTTCTGCACCCCCTCTGGAACTGGAATTGCCTGAAGAATTAATTTTCATTTAAATCCACTCTTCTATTCCCCACCTCCACCAGTGAGAGAATCAAATCCAGGGCCTCCCACATGCTAAACAGCAAGTGCTCTGAGTTATACCTCTAGCTCTCTATCCATTCTTAGCACCAATGAATATTTAATAAGTTTCCACAGGGTACATGACATTCTGCTTATCTGGTTGGTGCTTGGAACCCAAACACTTCATCTCCTTATTTGTCCTCAGAGAACTTCAAAGACAGCTGCTCTAGATAACAGTGAATCTGGGGCCAGAGTTATAGAGCTCAGTGAAAGAGCACTTGCCCAGCATGTGCAAGGCACTGGGTTTGATTCTCAGCATAGCATACAAGTAAATAAAAAAATAAATAAAGGTACATTGACAACTAAAAAAAAAAATATTTAAAAAAGTAATATTGAATCAAAAGTGGTAACAAAAACTCAAGTTGGTACCAAACATTCCATACAATAGATATTATTGCCTCATAAACTTATCTTAAAAAAAAAAAAAAAGGTGTCACATGGTGCTGCTTGGAGTGGGGGTTGTCTGTACAAAAATTATGATTAAATATTACACAAGTTGTTATGCCCTTAGAGAAGTCTTGGTTCCACACTCATCCCTAAGCCTAAAGATGACTAAAGATTCCTGATATTAGTCAGAATAATACCTTTAAAATATGTAGCTTGCTTCATTCTTTGACCTTACTACTAATCTGAAAAGATAATAAACGGAAAGCCAAGGTTACCCAGAAAATAAGTTGAACCAAATGAGACATCAAAGAAGACCTGAGTACTTAATGGGCAAGGAAGAAAAACATCTATTTCGGGCAACTTCTAACTCTTCTCTCCATTGAAAAATTTCAGCAAAAAAATATTTAGAGGTTATCTACTGATTAACACTTAGTTATTTGTCTCCAACTAAATACTATAGTAGACAAAAAGGGGAACACTTTAAAGAAAGTGGCTATTCCTCCCTCTTCTCAGTAATGACACTTAGTGACAAATCAATTCAAATAAATGTCAATGGTTCACTTGACCCCCTTCATTATACAAGTGTGTATCATCACTATATCCGGTTCAAACTCAAAAAATTTAGAAAGCTAGGCATGGTGGTACATGCTTACAATCTCAGTGGCTCTGGAGGCTGAGGCAGGAGGATCACAAGTTCAAAGCTAGTCTCAGCAACTTATTGAAGCCCTAAGCAAATCTCTGAGACCCTGTATTCAAAATAAAAAATAAGAAGAGTGAAGATGTGGCTAAGTGGTTAAGTGGCCCTGGGTCAAACCCTGGTACCAAGAGATTATTTTCTTCAGATACATGTTTTTGGTATTTTTTCTTAGTATAGAAATAGAAACTGAATCAAAATGAAGAATCTTTATTGTCTAATTTTTTTCTTTTTTTTTTTTGGTACTTTGCCATTGAGGTACATCAGCTCAGTCCTTTTTATTTTGACACAGGGTCTGGCTAAATTGCTGAGGCTGTCCTTGAACATGCAATCTTCCTGTCTAAGCCTCCCGAGTTGTTGGGATGTTAGGTATGCACTACTGCTCTTGGGAAGAATAACCTTAAAATATGTGTATGTGGGCTGGGGATGTGGCTCAAGCGGTAGTGCGCTCGCCTGGCATGCGTGCGGTCCGGGTTCGATCCTCAGCACCACATACAAATAAAGATGTTGTGTCCTCCAAAAACTAAAAAAATAAATATTAAAACATTCTCTCTCTCTCTCTTAAAAAATATGTATGTATAAAATTTTAAGATAAAACCACCTGAAGAAAATGATTATAAAGTTTATTTCTGAGGAAATACAGGGGTAGGTATAATAGAAAGTTTTGTTTTAAGACTTTACAATGCTTATATTTTGAACAATTGTCACACCTCAAAAACACTGAGGGTGAGAGGTACACAATAGTCATGTTTCCATAGGTATTTATGATCCAATGTCCCAAAGACAGGTTTGTGTTAAACATGTTTTGAAAAGGGACACTTTTGGGGGGGAGGGTGTCAGGGATTGAACTCAGGAGCACTTGACCACTGAGCCACATCCCCAGCCCTATTTTATATTTTATTTAAAGCCAGGGTCTCACTGAGTTGCTTAGCACCTCGCTTTTGCTGAGGCTGACTTTGAACTTGCGATCCTCCTGCCTTAGCCTCCTAAACTGCTGGGATTAACAAGGGGTGCCCACCGTGCCTGGCTGAAAAGGGACACATTTTAAATACTGTTCTCTTTATAAAAGCAGTTTATTACCATAGGATTTGAATCTGCTATGAGATCCCGTAGAGAATCCAGAAATCCCTGATCTTCCACCATCTGGGCATTGATATCATGGAGTTTTGCCACACAGACTGCTGCTGTTTTCCGAACATAGGGGTCTTCATCCTTTAAGCACTTGCGGAGGGGCTCACAGAGATATTCTGTAATCTTGTCCACCCGGATGCAACCCATGGTCCTAACTGCCAAGGCCCGAATCAAAGGATTGGGATCTTCACAGTCCTACAAAAACAATATCAGTTCTGAGTAAATAAGGTAAACAGTCCAGTTGATGCAAGCCACAAGAGAATATTTTAGTAATTTAAGTTTCTGGTTACACCTACAACACAACATAATCTCCCTATTCCTTTTCTAAGTAAAAGTTTTAGTTGTCTATTCAAGAGTTTAGAAGGAAGCCAGGCATAGTGGTACATATGCCTATTACCCCACCTAGTTGGAAGGTTAAGGCAGGAGGATCAAAATTTGAGGCCAACCTGAGCAACTTAGCAAGAAGGAAATCACCTGTTTAATATTCAAAATAAGGAAAAGCCCAGTAGTATTTAATCCAAGGCTAGCCATATAAATCCATGCACAGCTCTAACTTTCAAAGTATGTAAACCAAAATCTTCCCAATGGATTGAATAGAAAGACACACACACACACACACACACACACACACACACACACACACAATGATTATAAAGGCACTTAACATGGAAAGATAATAGTGGCAAATATATGAAAACGGTGATTATATTTCATCTATGAACCACCAGGTGGGGAGAATGAAAGTTATCTTCCCTCTGGACTTTGTATTATACAGAAAAATACAAAAAAAGCCCAAAAAGTCTACAAGAAGAAAGAAACATATTGATAATTTTTCAAACTTTAAATAAAAGTTAATTTTTTAGAGATGCTGTCATTTCTTTCTTTTTTCTTTTTTTTTTTTTTTTTTTTTTTTGGTATTAGGGATTGAATCAGAGGCACTTAACCAATGAGCAACATCTCCAGCCCTGTTTGTTTTTTATATTTTGAGACAGGGTCTCACTAAGTTGCTTGGGGCCTCACAAAATTACTGAGGCTGACCTTGAATTTACAGTCCTCCTGGATCCTACTGCCTCCATCTCCCAAGTCACTGGATTACAGGCATGTATTACCACACCCAGGTTTTTTTTTTTCTCTTTTTTTAATGTAAACTAATTTCCGGTCAGAGAAAAAAAAATTAATGGAAACAATCTTATTATTATGTTTATCAAATCTAATGATAGGAAAAAAATCTGACTATCTATTCAATTACATTAAGGCAATTTTTGAGGTTTTAAAAGTTTTTAAAGATGTGACAATAGTACTCTGGTTATATTTTTGAAAAAGATATCTTATTCTGACAAATGTAAGGATGAAATGGTATGATGTATTGGCTTTGCTTAAAATTTATCTAGCAGGAAAGGGGTGTGGAGATCCAAAAGCTACACATATAGGAAGTGTAATTATTAAAATTATAAGATGGGTATTTAGGAATTATAGTATGAATATTTAAAATTTTCCATAGTAAAAAAATCTTAATCAAATATTTTAAGACCTAGGAAGTGAAACGAAAGTAATACTTCCTATAGTTTCTAATACTGATGACTGTTAAGCTAATTTCTACAAAAATAAAATACATAAAGCCTCAGGTAACTAATACAATAACGATATGCCCACCTTAGTCAGCCTTGGAAGGTAAAACAGTGAGGTTTCACCTGGCTTTGTTCTACCCATCTGGCAAGGATACGTGTACCAAGCAGTGCTAACAGAAGGCTTAACATATGCTTTGAACTTTGCTTGATGACACTTGCTGACATATGGAATGCTTAAAACATGAACAGTTCTACTTATCGCCAATACTTCCCTGGAAGCCTTCCTCTGAAACAGGTTGCTTATTTGCAATGCAGACACTAACTATACCAAGAATGGTTATTGGAAATAGAAGGGATTGCTGCAGTCCTTGGGAAAAGTTACCTTCACAAAGCTGTTGACAGCCATGATGGCCATGTCTGGCTGACTCTTGGCATAATTCATCAAGTAGAGATACACAAGTTTCTTCAGTTCCAGGTTATCAGTCTGCATACAGTTCACTACATCTGGAAAGAGAGAGCTGAGAAGGGAAAGAGAAAAAAGAAAGTAAACAGGCGTGGGTGCTAAACTGCTGGAAAATGAAGAAATGGCTTGATTCAATGATTTGATACAAGGACAGTGTCCCCATAGTGACAATTATTTGCTTGTTAAGTTTTTTGGTTTTGGTACTGGGGATTGAACCTAGAGGAGCCTTACCATTACTATATCCCTTTTTATATTTTAGTCTGGGACAGGAACTCACTAAGTTGCTAATGACTTCACTAAATTGCTGAAGCTAGCTTCCAATTTGTGATCCTCCTTGTTTTAGCCTCCCAAGTCACTGGGATTATAGGCATGGGTCACTACATCCAGCTACCACAGGGATGATTATCATGGAAATTAATTACTAAAGGAATTAGAGTCCTGGTCCCAAGGACTCTAAATGGCTTTTTTTTTCTTCTTTTTTTGATGGTGCTGGGGTTGAAACCTCATGCAAGCATTCTATCACTGAACTATATTCCCAGTCCTCAAAGTAGTTTTTGAAAACAACTTATTTTTATGAAAAATTCCAAACAAGTAGAGAGTGCAATATACAAGCCCAATGTACCCCTCACCCACAAATACTGCTACATGCCCAATCTTGTTTAATTTATGTATTCAACCTACTGTCCCTACTCTCATTCCCACATTTACCTGGTTGCTCTGGATTTTTTTTTTTTTTAATTTTTAAAATTTTTTGTGAGGCAGGAGTTTGAACCCAGGATCTCAAGCACTCTACCACTGAGCTATATCCCCACCCCCTGGATTATTTTAAAATAAATCCCAGACATCCTATCATTTCATCTACAATATTTTAGTGTATCTTTCTACAAATCTTTTTTTTTTAAATCAATCTTTCTCATACTAAAAAGAAAAAAAAACAGTAATTCTTGATATCAATCTACTGCAGTTTCAAAGCACTATAGTTGTTATACTTTTTAATGCTCATATTCTTCCAACTGCCGCCCCATCACTTTTTTTTTTTTTGGGGGGGGGGTACTAGGGATTTAAAGGGCACTCAACTACTGAGCCCTGGCCCTCTTTATTTTGAGATAGTATCTCACTGAATTTCTTAGAGCTTTGCAAGCTAAATTGCTGAGGCTGGTTTTGAATTTGCAATCCTCCTGTCTCAGCCTCCCAAGTCCCTGGGATTACAGGCATGCACACCATGCCCAGCCTTCCATCCTTGAACTTAGTTAACTCCAGGGTCCTTGTGAAATGGCCCTGTATTTTCAGCAGTTCCTTGCCTTCTCATATGACACGATGCTTCATCCAGGCTCATCTGTACATGTCTAATACCAGATTCAGCAGTCATTTTTCTAATGTCCCAATTTCCTTTTAGTGAAATGTATTTACCTTTTCTTTTTTTGGTACTAGCGATTGAACCCAGGGTGAATAACCACTGAGCCATATTCCAAACTCCCTACTTCCCCTATTTTTTTGAGACAGGATCTCACAAGGCTGTTTAGAGCCTCACTTAATTGCTGAGGCTGGCTGATGCCTCAGCCTCCTGAGCACTGAGATTACAGGGGTGTGCCACTGCACCCAGCTTATTTTTCTTTTTAACATTACACATTCACTCAAATGAAAATGTGAGTGTCAATTTAGCGAAACTCTTGCAAAGCAATTTCGCAAGACACTGTCTCAATATTAAAAATAAAAAGGGCTGTGGGGGCTGGGGCTATGGCTCAATGGTAGAGTGCATGCCTATCATGCACTGGGTTTGATTCTCAGCACTACATATAAATAAATGAATAAAATAAAGGTTCAACAACATCTTTAAAATTTTTTTTTTAAAAAGGGCTGGAGATGTGATTAAGAGGGGGTTCAATCCCTGATATTAACAACAACAACAAAAAATTTGTGAGTGAATCAAATATAAAAGTATTTTATACCTTTCCCAAGTTCTAGTAATTTCATAATTTACATTCTCCTCTAAGCCACAGGAAAACTATCTGTGTTTCTATTCACAAAGTAACACCATTAGCTTGGAGAATTAAGCTTGTTGGATTTTATTTATTTATTTAGCAGTGTTGGTAATTGAATACAAAGGGCCTTGCGCATGCAAGGAAAGTGGTCTACCACTGAGCCACATCCCCAGCCCATGAGTTTGTTGGATTTTAAAGTATAACTATGTTATAAAAATGTATTAAAGAGACTGACAGGGGTGGCACATGCCTCTAATCCCAATGAATTGGAAGGTTGAGGGAGCAAGATTACAAGATTGAGGCTAGGTTCTGCAACTTAGTGAGATTCTGTTTCAAAATAAATAAATAAAAGAGCTGGGCATATAGTTCAGTGGTAGAGTGCCCCTGGGTTCCATCCCCAGTACTGTGAAAGAAACAAACAAGAAAGAAAAAATTCAGGTTAACTATGGAAAGTTAGAAATTAACCTACCTCTAAGGTTTTATTAAGGTACTTTATAAACATATTCCTAAATATCTTACAATAGTATAGAAGAAAAAAAAACTGTCAGTATATTTATACAGAAAATTAAGAGAATGACTAAAATAGTTCCATGGTATAGCTCCTGTACACACACAAATACAGGGTACAGAAATAGGAATTATTATTATTTTTTAAAATATTTATTTTTTAGTTCTTGGCAGACACAACATCTTTGTTGGTATGTGGTACTGAGGATCGAACCCGGGCCGCACGCATGCCAGGCGAGCGCGCTACCGCTTGAGCCATATCCCCAGCCCCAGAAATAGGAATTATTTACAAAAGGCAAGATAGACTGCAAATTCAAAGAATCTATCACATCTCCAGTGAAGCACTGACTTCTGTTTTGAAAGGCAGCAAACTGTTTACTTTATCTGTACAATATCTCTCATAGTTTCAGGCACATGTTGATATTTAATAAATACTCCAAAATGAGTTTTCTTTCCCTTTTCTAGAAAAATAGCTCATATGCAGAATGACTTTAAAACCAGTAATTAATATGGAGCATTAACCCATTATAAACTAAAGATCCTAAATAATTCTAACAACCCACATAAGACCAAGATTTAACAGTTTAAATTCTAGAGGAAAAAACTGTTAAGTACCAACTTATAAAGCTAGAAACATAAACTTTCCAATATGGTAGGCACTGGTCACATGTGGCTAGTCCAAACTGAGAAATGATATAAAGCACTGGATTTTGAAGACTGTGTGTGATAGACTATCTCTTTTAAAATTGTTTATGTTGGGCTGGGGTTATGGCTCAGTGGTAGAGTGCTTGCCTTGCATGTGTGAGGCACTGCATTCAATTCTCAGTACCATATATAAATAAATGAATAAAATAAAGGTCCATCAACAAAAACAATTTTTAAAAAATTGTTTATATTGACTGGCATGACTGTGCAGGCTGTAATTCCAGCAACTCAGAAGGATAAGGCAGGAGAATCCCAAGTTCAAGGCCAGCCTCAGGAATTTAGTGAGACCCCGTCTCAAAAAAAGGTGGGGATAAGATACTGGTAATGTAACTCACTGGTAAAACACCCTTGGATTCAATTCCCATTACCAAAATAAATAAATAAATAAAAATTTAAAAAGGGCTGAGAATAATAGAAAGCTCCTAGGTTAATTCCTAGTACCACACACAGGCACAAAATATTTATATTGATCATATGCTGAAATAATATTCTAGATATAATAGATCAAATAAAATTTATTAAAATTAGTTTCATCCATTTCTTTAAAAATTACATATGCAGCTCACATTGTATGTCTACTGGACGATGCTGAGCTTGACATTACTCGCAGGAGAGACTGAACTATGATAATCTACAAATAGCTAATCTCTTTATATTCTGTTTGTGCTCTTTCCAGGAACAACTCATTCTGCATCTCTTCCAAGAAGAGTTCTTGGCAAAATTCCTATGCTTGAATCCTTCTTTTGTAGAAATTGTACTGCCTTTAATATATACATCTATGTTCAATGTCTTTAGCAATTAGGGAAATGCAAATCAAAACTAGAATGAGATTTCATTTCATTTTACTTGGAATGGCAGCCATTAAGAATATAAATACCCAGCAGGGATAATGGTACATGCCTATAATCCCAGAAACTAGGGAGGCTGAGGCAGGAGGATCATGAATTCAAAGCCAGCCTCAGCAATTCAGCAAGGCCTGAGGCAACTCAGTGAGACTGTTTCTAAATAAGATGTTAAAAAAAAAAAAGAGCTGGGCATGTGGCTCAGTGGTTAAGTCTCCCTGGGTTCAATCCCTGGTACCAAAAAAAAGTACCCTAGAAATGCCCCTCCCCCATACAAATAGCAAGCCACAGTGGCTCACACCTATAATCTCAGCAACTTGGGAGGCTGAGGCAGGAGGATCACAAGTTCAAGGTCAGCCTCAGCAATTCAGCAAGACCTCAGCAACTTAGTGAGACATTGTCTCTGTACTGCTGAAAAATATTCCATTGTATATACATACCACAGTTTCTCTATCCATTCATCTGTTGAGGGGCATCTAAGTTGGTTTCCACAGTTTAGCTATTGTGAACTAAGCTGCTATGAACATTGGTGTGTCTATGTCACTATAGTATGCTGTTTTTAAGTCCTGACTGAGGAGTAGGATAGCTGGGTCAAATGGATATTCTTTTTTGACACTACATCAAAACTACAAAATGAGGGTTTTTCACTTTTTTAGCTTATAAATAGAACTTTCTTAAGATATTTACAATGTGAAGTCTGAAACCATATGGATAAGCCTTTTGTACTTGGATGCATTAAAATCCATTCACTTATCATACATTTTGAATGGATTTTTTACCCATGCAAAATTTTATGATACGTGCATTGGTCATTTAGAAAATATTGGTTCACTGAGTTTTCAGATCCTTCCAATGTTAACATATTTCATTATATCACAGCAAATAATCACATTTATCAATTTCACAAACAATCTCATTAGAGAAGTGTTTAGGTATTAGAAATCTATTGAACTAAATTATGAGAGACACAAATTTTCCAAAACTGCAAATTTTACTTTAAAGCTTGAAATTTATCTACTGTCAATTTTTTCCCCTTGAAATGATAGGTTCATTTTTGATAAAATGCATCCCAAATACTAAAGTCTGATTAAATATATCTTGTCAATCATTCTTTCACATAAAAATGGTTTCTGCAATTCAAACAATCACACAGAGTGTTTTCTCAACCATCACACTTCACAATGCAGGAAAAGTATAAGTAATTCCCATTTCATTCCATAAATTATAAAAATTTGTATTCAAAATTCAAGGTTTTTTTTTTTTATTAAAACCTTTACTATAGAAGACTATCAAACTGAAGCAGCATAAGAAACTAAAATATTTTATCAATAGAAATACCAGGTTTAATATGCACAAAGCCAAGAAAACCAAAGTCAGTTAATGAATTTCTAACACACTCTCATTTAAAAAGTTAAAGTTTTAATAGAATTTTAATGCTTCATGAAGGGTGTTCCCAAGTATGTTGTAGTAACAAATATAATGACTGCTATGGCCAGCACCACTCCTTGATTCATACTAAAACACTAACAGTTTTACCCACAGCTGTTTCATACCATCAGTGCAAACATAAAAATGATGAAAAAGGTAAGTAACTTCTAAGCATTATTTTAAACATAGCTTTGATCTCATGAAAGGGCCTTTGGAATCCACAAGGCCTAAAGATAATCCTTACTTATTTTCAAATGGTCTCATTAAATTACAGAAACAAACAAAAAATCTGATCAAATTTGTTAAGACAGATTTCCATCTTAAATTCAAAAATGTGGAATTGTTAAGTTGAGGGTACTGGCTTGAGCAAATTAAAGAATATGTGAACTTCTACTTCTCAGTATATTTTTATCATCTTCTAAAATTTCCTCAATCGACAGATTTGTAACTGTGCCAGTACTCAGGATGTTTTATGCTATCTATATGCAACAAAATCAAGTCATTTCACTCTTCTAAAAAACAAACAAAATACTTAAGTTGGAAGAGGCAAGGTCCCCACGCTGGCTTCAAACTCTTATTCTCAGGCAATTCTCCAGCCTCAGCCTCCCCAATAGCTGGAACTACAGGCACACACCATTGGATGCAGTGGGTCTATGATTTTAAAGAAAAGCAGCAAAGGCCATAAAATGGGGTATGAATCAATAGCATTAGTGAATACTCTCTTACCTAACATCCTTCCCCACAGTCATAGCAGCAATCACTTTCTTCACAGCCTCCTTCCGCTTTTCTTTCTTTTCATTGTTGAGTTCAGCTTTTAATTCAAAGATTTCTCCTACAAGAGATAAGAACAAATGGGTGAGGTTCCAGAACCAGATAACCAGAGTAGAACACATTATATTATGCAGTTACACCAGGATAACATGGCAGCAATTAAAATAAAAAATTATAGGTATGTAAACTTCAAAGTTCTAGAATATTTACTAACCCACTGATAAGGACACCACAAATGTTTCTAAGACCTTTTCAGTTATGACCTAACTTAAGGTGAAATCCAGATCTTTGGGAACCATAAAAGTAGGAAAAAGTAAACATCATGATATGTACTTATGATGGGAACAGAACAATAACTGAGGTATCACCTCCCATCAGAATTTTAAGGTCCTCAGAAGAAAATAAATGTAGGCAAGGAGCAGGTTTAAAAATCAGTGTTTTCAAACCAGAAGAAATATGTATCATCTCATATACCCGCTCCCAAATTTACAGATAAAGAAGAAGTTGAAGGTTACAAAATGGTTAGTGATAAGAGTTGGGCTTATCACTGTCTCCTGACTCTCAAATCCAGATGTGCTAAACCTTGGCCACACCCTACTACTGTCAGAAATATTTAACAATAACAATGCTTAGGCTCCATATGAACCAAATGAATCAGAATATCAAGAAGAACTCTTACTTTTTCTTTCTTTTTGGGTACCAGGGATTGAACTCAGGGGCACTTAATCACTGAGCCACATCCCCAACACTTTTTACTTTTTATTTTGAGACAAGGTCTGGGCCTAAGTTGCTGAGGATGGCTTTGAACTTACAGTCCTCCTGCTTCAGCCTTCTGAGTCCTTGGGATTATAGGCATGTGCCACTGTGACTGGCTTTACTTTTCTCTTTTTAAAGGTTCCTCCAAGTGATTCTAATACACAACTAGGGTTCAGAACCACTGCTCTAAATCAGTCAGTACCTTAATAAGTTAAAGGGTTTTTAGGTCCGACCCTATTCAATCAATCTGACAATCATAATTTTGAAGTGGCAATGGTATAAATTAGGCTCATTTCTAAAAGTATGATCTTGAGCTATATGCCCCACCTAAACGTATAATCATGAATGTTACACGTTATACTCCTGTTAAGGAGTCTACACTGTGAAATGCCAGGAACTATCACCACTTTTAAGGCCCAGTCTCCTGGTTCACCTTTTTTCAGGATGCCAAGGACAAAATAAAAAAGAAGGTAATAATCCTCATCTGTTTTAAAATTAAAGGGGTGGTAAGACAACCAAAAACTCAACACGTGGCCCATGAGAAAAAGGCTGATTCCATCTCTACCTTCCATCTATATCCCTAAACTTGATACAACTTGTCTTATTTTTCTCCATCTTCAAGACAATTTTCAGTGTTCTTTTTAACCAGACCTAATTCATCAGTATGACTGTACACTAGTCATCTCCCTGAAGCCCTTAAGTGGGAAGGATGAAATTGATAAAATGAGCACTAGAAAGGCTTGTTTCATTAATATCCATCCCAAAAGGCAAGCAAACTGTTACAAAATCACTGTTATTGACAGTTAAAAAAAAAAAAAAAAAATCAGAGCAGAAAAGCTAGGCCCTCTAAAGAGTCATTTTTCTCTTCACCAAGTCTATGCTGCCAAATCCAGTTAAGTCTTAGGGTTTCCATCATTTACTTCTGGGAACAGTAAAAGACAAACAGCAGGGTTTCAGAAAAAAAGTGTGAATAGCATCAGGAGTTGCAGAATCAAAACAGGATGTAACTGAAATTATTCTAGTTCCAATAGCATAAATTTAAAGAATATGTTCCACTGGCAGTACTGGTGGGCGTTGCAGGAAGCAAATGGAACAGAGTCTGCCCTTTTTTTTTTTAAATGTGGTATTTATCTAGCGTGAATCAATTTCTAAATCTTAGACTTTTAAAAATGCCTGAATAAAAATGGTCACCAAGACCCCTTCAAGAGAAAGTTTGAATAGTAAAATGAAGATTTTTGAAGATCTCTTCATGTCATTATAGAAAATACACAAAAAGTTAACCGAAGAAAAAATAAATACATCTCCAAATAATAAGAAAGTCAGGAAAAGCTGAAATGAATGATAAAGGGCTATGACTTTTATAGGTGTAAATAATACCTATTGGGAGGAAGAAATTGGGTAAAGCCAAAGAGGGGTACTAAAGGGAGCAAGGTATTTCATATAACATAACTTTATTAAATTCATATCTTCTCTTCCTTCCTGATCAAACCTACCAAGCATTGCCAACAGGTAGAAATGGTTCTCAATCCTGGCTACACACGTTAAAATAATCCAGGGAGCTTTTAAAATCTCCTCACCCAGACCACTGAAATCAGGTTTTCTGAAGTTGGGATAAGGCATCAATATTGTTTTAAGTTCTCTGGGCAACCGTAATATGTGGACAAGATTGAAAGGTTAAAACACTGTTATATTAACATCATCATCTTTTTTCTTTTTAATTCATTTTTATTGGTGCATTATAAATATAAATAAGGGGATTTATTGTGACATTCATACAAGGTTGATTAGTAGTTGATATAATTAAACAACTCACTAATGGGCTTTCTGAATTATAACAGAATTTTTTCAACTATATATATCACAAATGATGAAATATGACAGACTGCTTGAGTATTCTGGAAAATGTTCTGGTGCTCCTTATTTACTCCAGGCTACTATGCTTTTTAATTTTTTTTAAAAACTTCAGTTTTAAAGTTGTAAGATTCCTCTGTTAATATTTTGCCACATTTCCTTTACAATTTTCTCTGCATTTTTTTCTCCCAGTGGTGCCAGAGATCAAACCCAGGACCTCACACATGCTAGGCAAATACTCTACCACTGAGCCACATCTCCAGTCCTTCTGTGCATTTATATATACCTTTTCCCTACACTATTTAATAGTAAACTGCAGACATCATACCTCTTTAGCTCTAAATACATACATCAGTGAATCTTTTTTCTTTTTAATTCATTTTTATTGGTGCATTACAAATATAAATAATGGGATTTATTGTGACATATTCATACACTTACCAGTGTTTTCTAAGAAAAGGAAATTATTTTATATAACCTTAATACAATGATTAAAACACTATTATATTAACATCATCATCTAATCTATAGACCTTATTTCAAGTTCTCAAACTTGATTCCCACTCCATTTCCAACTCTGGAGCAATCTTCAGTTTGGGATTACGCATTACATTTATTGTCATGTCTCTTTAGTTTCCTTTAATTCAAAAGTCTGTTTGCATTACAACTTTGTTTTTTATTTATTTTTATTTATTTATTTATTTTTTTAATATTTATTTATTTTAAATTTTCGGCGGACACAACATTTTTGTTTGTATGTGGTGCTGAGGATCGAACCCGGGCCGCACGCATGCCAGGCAAGCGCGCTACCGCTTGAGCCACATCCCCAGCCCCAACTTTGTTTTTTAATATTTATTTATTTATTTTAGGTGTAGATGGACACAACACAATGCCTTTATTTTTATGTGGTGAGGATCGAACCTGGGTACCACTCATGCGAGGCAAGCGCCCTACGGCTGAGCCACAATCCCAGCCCACAACTTTTTTTTAAAAAAAATATTTACTTTTTTAAGTTGTAATTGGACACAATACCTTTATTTTATTTATTTTTAATGTAGTGCTGAGAATCAAACTCAGGGCCCCGCACGTGCTAGGCAAGCACTCTACTGCTGAGCCACAACTCCAGCACATAACTTTTTTTTAACAGGTCACCCAGCATATAGAATCCCTTCCCTCATGATTGCCCTGAAGTCATAAATTGTGGGCAAGCTAATTGTTAAAGTAATAGAATGGTCTTCTCAGTATATCATACCCAAAGGTAAATGATATAAGTTTATTCCAGTATTGCTGATATTAACATGAATACTTGGTTAAAGTTGTAACTGCTAGATTTTGACACTGTAAATATTTTTCCCTTTGTAATTAGTAATCTGTGAAAAGATACTTGGAAACTATGGAAATATCTGTTCTTCATCAAACTTTCACCTGCAAGTTTTAGCATTCACTGACAACTCTCGCCTAATTTACGATCTATGCCTCTGTGTATTGTGATTTATTATTATTTAATGGGCTATGATCTATGACTTTTTATTTTATTTATTTATTTATTTTGATACAGAGGCGTTCAACCTGGGGTTGGATCCCTAGCAGCAACCCACCCCCCTAAAAAATAAAAAGCTGGCCTGCAATGATGATACGGAGTCTCATCCCTGGCCCTTTTTATTTTGAGATGGGGTCTGGCTAAATTGCTTAGGACCTCTCTAAATTGCTAAGGCTGGCTTTGAATTTTTGATCCGCCTGCCTCAGTCTTCCAGGGGATTACAGGCGTGCACCACCATGCCTGGCCTGTGATGACTTTATTGCTCAAATTACTCTAAACTTTGCCAGTAGCAATCCCTTTAGGCTATTGTGCTCCCTGACATACCAATCATTTTTTGAGCACTTCCTTATATTCTGGCACAAGATGTTCATGTTCAATTTGTACATTCCCTCAATCCAGCCTTGGAATTAGTTATTTCTCCAAGGAGTCTGGTTCATATAATGGAATATGGTATTTAGAAACCAAGATTTGTGTACTAGGTGTCCTCTGTACCTAATCTGACTCAATGAAATTAGGGTATCTAATCAGAAACTCCACCAACATTAGGGTATTAAGTGAATGTGACTTGTATATACTCAATAAATGTTTACTAAATAAATGAATGTGATAAATGAAGGTAGGATTTTGCAATCTGAAAACTTAGCTAAACCTGCAGACAGTAAGAGGTTTATACAACTGTATTTTATGTTGCCTGTGAGTTCTAACTCACTTCTTTAATAAGGTAATTCAATGATTTCAAGCCAAAAAGGTACTCAGTAGTAGAGCACTTGCCTAGCATGCACAAAGCCCTGGGGTTAGATCCTTAGCAGCAACCCACCCCCCTAAAAAATAAAAAGCTGGCCTATAATCCTAGTGACTCAAGAGTATGTGGCAGGGGGATTGCCAGGTTTAAGACAGCCTGGGCAACTCAGCAAGGCCACATCTCAAAATAAGTAAAAGTGAGGCAGGAGTTATAGCTTAGTGGTAGAGCGCTTGCCTAGCATGTGTAAGGAACTGTGTTCAATTCTTAGCACTGCATATAAATAACAATAAGGCACTGACAACTGAAAAAAAAAACTAGGTAAAAGGGATGAGGATACAGCTCAGTGGTAGAGCACCCCTGGCTTCAATCCCTAGTATACACACAAAGGAAAAAAAACACCACAACTTTGAAAAATCTCCAAAATTTAACCAGGTTTTCCTACTTACCCTTTTTATTTGTTGTAAAGTACTTGGAGTCAGTCATGATTTTGGATCTTTAATGTGCACCTGTAGCAAGAGAAAAAAAATTATTTATTCATGCTGCATATATCCATTAAGGCATCTGATTAATTTTAAGAACATTCAGTTAATTTTAATAATATTTAAGAATGTCTTCTTCCTTACCACCCAAATTGGTAATTGCAGAGATGGATAAAAAATATATATATAACTCCTGGCTCAAGGAGCTACTAGGGACAAAGTCTAAAGGCCCAAAGGAATGTGGTAATAATCTGAATCTATTATGGCTTTGTAAATTATTATTATTATTGGTACCAGGAATTGAACTGGGGCACTTTACCAGTGAGCCACACATCTAGCCTTTTTTTTCTTTTGAGACAGGGTCTGGCTAAATGGCTTAGGGCCTCGCTAAACTTCTGAGGCTGGGTTTGAATTTTCAACCCTTCTGTTTCATCCTCCCGAGTCACTGGGATTACAAGTGTTCACCACCATACCCTGCTTGACTTTGTAATTTTGTTTACAATGATCTTCTCAAAGCCTTCAAGAGTGAAACCTAAATATATCTTTAATTAATTAAACACATAAAATAAAAAAATTTGTTTTGAAAGATCTTCCTATAACTTTTTATTCAGGAAAATTTGGTTATTTCCTGTTTCAAGATGGAGTCACTTCAAAGCATAAATTCTGAAGCAGTGTAAGGATCAAAGAGAAAACAATTTTGCCAACCTAGTCAACACTACATACACTTTTCTATAAAAGGAAGCTCTTTTAAGAAAAAAAAAAAAAAAAAAGCCTAAAACAGGATACTATTCTTTCACAACACCTAGAGAGACTAACATACCTTAAAGAGACTAACATATCTTCTTAAATTTGTGGCCTTCATATTTCCAATTATCTACATTTATCCCAACAGTATTCCCAAAGACAAAAATAATAGCAGTTTATAGTTAAAAATAAGGCAAAAGACTGAGATATTTGTTCAGTCACACTAAGTACAAGAAAATTAGTAAGAACATGGATCTCAATCTCAACCCTAATTCTTCTGTCTTGAGACCCAGAAAAGTTTAATCCAACTGACACAAAGTTCTACTAGTAAAACAAAAGCAGCGCTCTTCCGCAGGAGGCCTACACGCCGCCGCTCTGCTGCCGCCATGTCTCTAGTGATTCCTGAAAAGTTCCAGCACATTTTGCTAGTACTCAACACAAACATCGATGGGCGGCGGAAAATAGCCTTTGCCATCACTGCCATTAAGGGTGTGGGGCGAAGGTATGCCCATGTGGTGTTGAGGAAAGCAGACATTGACCTCACCAAGAGGGCTGGAGAACTCACTGAAGATGAGGTTGAACGTGTGATCACCATTATGCAGAATCCACGACAGTACAAGATCCCAGACTGGTTCTTGAACAGACAGAAGGATGTAAAGGATGGAAAATACAGCCAGGTTCTGGCCAATGGTCTAGACAATAAACTCCGGGAGGACCTAGAGCAACTGAAGAAGATTAGGGCCCACAGGGGACTGCGTCACTTCTGGGGCCTTCGTGTCCGAGGCCAGCACACTAAGAGCACTGGGCGCCGCGGCCGCACCGTGGGTGTATCTAAGAAGAAATGAGTCTGTAGGCCTTTTCTGTTAATAAATAGTTTATATACCAAAAAAAAAAAAAAAAAAGCAGCATGCACTGGTCATGTTTCTTCCAAAATAATGAGACAATTCTTCTTGATTTGAGAAACTCTAGGACTTTGTCCCATGTACTTGATTTCTTTAAATATATTCAATTTTTCTTTAAATAATATTCCTTCTGCACTCAAAAACGAGTATCTTCTTCTTTACTACCATCGTTAATAATATTTATTATCAATTTCAGGACAAGACATCTGATACTTGCTCTTTACTATCAAGTCAGTACAACTTGAGAGATACTATATTTGGCAAACTCAAGCATTCATACATTTGGCAAACAATAATAAATACGGGTCTGGGAGAAAAAAATAAAGTGCCAAACAAATCGATGTAATTAAAGAAAAAAAAAGCCAGAAAAACCCAAAATAATAAAAAAAGTTTGATTCAAATCTGATTTCTAAAATGTGCTTCTTATACAATTTAGTGAAACATACACTCACTTGCCATTTAGGATTTATGGTCTTGACCCTAATATAATAGTTCTTTAAGTTGTACTGGAACTTCACTGAATTCCCTTGTTAAAAGAAGTGAGCTAGAATTCACAAACATCACGGAAGAATGCATAAATTTCTGTTCCAATACTTAATATAACTAAAAATTAATCTGTAACAAAGGCTTGCCTTATACAATGTTTTCATAATGCCTTTCTAAAAAAATTTCAAAGAATGTTATAATCACTTAATCCATTCATAACAAACTAAATGTGAAGTAGATACAGAAAGAAAGAAATTCATCATGTAAAAAAAGACTTGAAATAAGTTTGAAGTTACCTAGAATTTATATATATAAACAGAAAAAAACAATATACAGAATTGATGACCAGAGCCAGGGGTGGTGGCTCATGTCTATAATACTAGCAGCTTGGGAGACTAAGACAGGAGGATTGGGAGTTCAAAGCCAGCCTCAGCAACTGCATGGCCCTAAGCAATTCAGTGAGACCTTGTCTCTAAATAAAATACAAAATAGGACCAGGGATTTGGCTTAGTAGTAGAGTGCCCCTGAATTCAATCCCAATACCGAAAAATGAGAGAAAGAAAAAAAAAAAAAAAGATTACCAGAGTCTGATAAGAGGGCTCTCTCTCTCTCTCAAATATATTATGATCTATCTAGGAAGCTATTCTGCCATTTTAAATAGGGTCGTCAAAACTTAAAACCTGTTTAAGATTTAAAAAAAAACTTGTTTGAAAAATTTCCCCCCCCCCGTTTCTTGGAAAAAGTTTTGCATAAAATCCTTTTGTCATTTTGTCCTTTAAAGTTTTCATACATATACCCATGCATTAAATTCTTTCTTTCTTTTTTTCTTTTTTTTTTGTACTGGGAATTGAACCCAGGGGGCTGAGCTACACTCCCAGCTCTTTTTATTTTATTTTTTTAATATTTATTGTTTTTTTGGTTAGACATAATACTTTTATTTTGTTTATTTATTTTTATGTGGTGCTGAGGATCGAATCCAGGGCCTCATGCATGCTAGGTGAGCGCTCTACCGTTGAGTCACAACCCTAGCCCCTCTTTTTATTTTTTATTTTGAGACAGGGTCTCACTAAGTTGTTGAGACTAGCCTCAAACTTGAAATCTTCCTGCCTCAGCCACCCAAATCACTGGGATCATAGGTGTGTTCTACTGCCCACAGCCACATATTACATTCTTAAAAATAATTTTCATCACGTTCTAGTAAATAATAAATTGACAGTCTTAAATCATACCTTTATTAGTAACTCATATACTCATTATCTCCACTAACAAATTTCAATGTTGAGGAATACATTTCTGTCATGTTCAGTGTAAGAATATCATGTTCTTATCTTAACTAGGGAAAATGTACATATCCACAAAATTTTGGGGAAGAAAGGAGAGTCAAATATCTTTAGAGGCCCATAGTATAAGTTCTAACCTAAGAATCTGTGCTCTCAGGAGAAGAGGTAGGAGCAAGGGAAGTAGCTTAGTGGTAGAGCACTTAACAGGCACAAAACCCTGGGTTCAATCCCCAGCACTGCAAAACAACAAAATGGCAACAAGAAGAGATAAAACACATTCTTTTTAAACTGGAACCATTGTAAATAATTATAATAAAATATTCTCTATCCATATTGGCAGAGAAACACTGTACCAAGTTAGTCATTGTCCCAAGCCAAAAGAAACTCCAAGAAAAACAAAAGTCTAAACAAATGTGAGAGCCAAGCACAGTGGTATATGCCTATAATCTTGGTTAGTGACTAGGGAGGCTGAGGCTGGATATTGCCAGTTTGAGACCAGCCTCAGCAACTTAGCAAGGCCCTAAGCAACTTAGTGAGACCCTGTTTCAAAAAATAAAAAGGGTTAGGGATGTGGCTCAGTGGTAAAGTGCCTCTAGGTCAACCCCCAGTACCAAAAGTAAATACATACATACATACATACATAAAAAGGACAGGGGATGTAGCTCAGAGATAACCCTGGATTCAATTCCCCAGTAACAAACAAACAAAAAAAGTGAGAAGAGATGGTGGTTGCACAACACTGTGAATGTTCTTAATACCATTGAACTGTTCATCTTAAAATGGTTAATTTTACATAATGTGAATTTCACCTCAAAAAAATTACATATTCATATTTTTAAAGGAAATATACTCAATCACTTTTCAGATATGGGCACTGCCAAAATTCAAAAAAGATGAAAACTAATTTCTGCATTAGAAGCCAAAGATGGAGCTGAAGAAAAACAAAGTATTTGTTGAAGTGCCTAAAAAAAAAAATCAAAGTCCTTCTGAGGAAAACAAAATTATTTCTCAGGAGAAGCCTAGAAAAGCAAAGCCATGATGGAATTTGAACTCATTTTACCTTTTTACCAGATCAGACCATGACAAGTCACTGGCTGTTTGAGAACTTATGTACAGTATGGCCTAGGGACATTGTTAAATAACAAAGCTGCCATAGTCAATGCACATAATCACTCTCACTTTTCTTAGGCCAGAGTGTGATGTCACTGCTTTTCACAGAAGGCCTCCCTGTACAGGATTATATATCTAGATTTAACATAGCCTAGTTTCTGTCAAATATAGGTTGTAAAAGTCCCTCCTCTTTTTCCATTCCTCCCTCCCTTCCAGTTCCCCAAAACAGAAACTCAACAGCAAAATAAGATTAATAGTTTGGGTAGAATAAGGTCAGGAAATTTTTTTTTTTTTAAATCTTAATGTCAAATGGCTCTCTGGGAAATAGCAGCTAAATTAGAATTGTAAGACCATTAGATGACCCTTCTTTGCTCATAAAGTCAGGCTTTACAGCTTAATGTTCATAGTGAAAAACTAGCCAAAGTTAAGCAAATTATAAGTAGGAGGGTCATCCCAGCAACCTTTTATTACAAGGTGAAAGGTGTTAAGTTCATTTTTAAAAAATATTTTTAATTGGAAACAATACCTTTGTTTTATTTATTTTTTTATGCAGTACTGAGGATCAAACCCAGCGCCTTGTACATGCTAGGTGAGCGCTCTAACGCTAAGCTACAACCCCAGCCCCTGTTAAGTTCATTTTTAATCAAATATTCCACAATAACACAAAGACAACAGCATCTTCAGGTATCATTTAGCTTATCAGAAATTATGAAACATTTAAAAGCTAAAATCACATGTGTTTTCTATTTAAATATGATAGACTAATATTAATACAGTACTACACAGAAAGAAGCTCAAAAGTTTTACATCCAATTATTAATAAAATATCAATAAACTCTGGAAAACTTCAGCCTGAAGGGAAAGAAGAAAGGAAGGAGACTGTGTCCTGTCTAATATTCTCCTAGTTCAGCTTGGTTCAAACCTGTGCCTAATATTCTAAAACACTGATCTTTCGAAGAAGAAAAGGATGAAAATAGTAGAACTCCTTGAGTCTTTTAATTTACAGTCAAAATGTTAGCTTTAGGTCAATTTTACCACCAAACTTTCAGTGAGGCTGTTTTCGGAACACATTATCTATTTCCTTGGGAGTTGCTTGCGACTGCTAAGATACCTGCAAACAGTTCTCACCTTACCACCAAGCTTAGTCATCATCAGAATGTGTTACACCTTTTCTTGCACAGCTGCATCTCCTTCATCTGCTGCTTTCTATTATTACTTTGTAAGTGTACCCTGAAGCTAAGCAATATAACGACAAGGAAGGCAATTAATAATTTAAATTGTTTCTCATTACAACCAACCGACTACCTTTTTGAGTCATTCTACCTCCCTGGGCTCATTGCGTTTTCTTTGCCATTCCCTTTAAACAATGATTATAACTGTATGGCAGTTAAAAATACATATTTTCTTTCTATTTAAGTCAAAAGTTTAATGAAGCATCCTCGCTACCTTCACACTACTTCATAAAGAAGCAGCCAAGTTATTTCAACAAAAACCTAGCCCCCAAAACCACTAGTACAAATTCTTGGAATTCCAAGAATATGGAAATAACAAGAAATTCCAGTTTCTTTACTTGTAGTGTTACCCATAGCCCTTCTCAAAACAAACTGTTCCTGCTAAACCCAGAAAAAAAAAAAAAAGAAGAAGAAGAAGAAGAAGAAGAAGAAGAAGAAAAATCCGGGTTAATATGTATTCACATTGGCTTCTCCCTCTTTCATATCGCGTCAATCTGGAGGTTTCCCTTCCTCCCTAGTATCTGAAACCCCTCTTTCCCAACGTGAGCAAGACCCTAGGGGTATGGTCATGCATTATCAAGTGGGGAGAGGTGTCTCTAAACCTCAAGTTACCGGAGACAGGCAAGGTTTCAACGGACGGACCATTGGGAGAAATCCCTTTTCTCTTTTGCTTGTTGGACACGTCCCAGCCTCGAAGAACGACGCCCAGCAGGATGGAAAAAGGATGGTTTTCCTTTGGCCTCCAGCATCTACCGGCCACACCCCTGGCCTTGTTCCTCTAAACCCCGACTTGGAAACAAACCTTCCCTCCAAAGCCCCCAGCCACCTGCTGCCACACCCGAGCCTTCCGTCAATCCACAACAGCCACCGCGGTGGAGACCCTTTCTCCAACCCTTTCCTCACAACGGTCACACCCGACAGCTTCCTCAACGGTCGCGCTTCTTTCCTCCCACCGACTCCTACCCAGCGCGGGGTTCCCCTTTCTCCCACCCCAATCAATTAGGGACACACCCCAAAGCCAGCTGCCGTGAACTCACCGGAGGCAAGGGTGGGGGTGGCGGCGGCAGCCAGAGAGCACAGCCCGGGTGTTGTAATGGTTTCCGGCCCGTCACGATTCTTGCTCTAGGTCTAAGCCACTGCGCAAAACCCAATTTGCCAGGCACAAAGATGGTGGGCTGGCACTTTGACGTAAAAGAACCTCGCCGCGCAACGTCATCGGGGTGCGCGGGAGAACCAGAAAGGCGGCTGTGTCACCTGGGAAACGGGAACTTTTCACTTGGTCCGGGCTAGGCCTGGGTCCAAGGAATATGTCAAACCAACCAACATTCTCTGGATGTTTCCTCGCACAGGAATTTTCTAAAAAACCTAAACACAGGGAAAACTCAGAACGAGCGAAATATCCTGTTCCTTCAAAAAAACAAAACACGGACAAACCTCTCCAAGGCTCAGGAATGGAAAATGGTGGCACAGCCCTCGAATACACAAGGAGAGTGAGGTTAAAGGGAAAAAAAGGAAGTTGAGAAAGCATCAGATCTGAGTTCGAATTTCTGTCCCGAAAACCTTACTCTTGTCGAATCTTAAATGTTATAAAGTAGATAAAGCCCTAGTGTGTAACAGATGTGCCTACACAAGTGTTTCAGAAACTAAGACCTCGATTCCAGAATATGTAACTTGAGAACAAGGCTAATATGGGCAAATTAAACCAGTTGTCCCTAAGGTTTATTTATGATGTAAGGGAGGTTGAGGAACAAGCGATGATTTTTTTTTTTTTAACTCACATTTTGGCCCACCCACTGTCACAGAGTCAAAAAGTATTAAAACACTTTCTTCTCAGGGAAGTAGTAAGATGTAAAAATTTAATATGACATTCGTGTGTAAGTATTCCCTATTATTAAAATACAGGAAATTGGAAATCTAGGTGTAAAAAAACGAGAGAATGTAAAAAAAAAAAAAATATATATATATATATATATATATATTGCCGCAGTCTGGCTGCAGCAAAATAACTGGGGGGTGACGAACGACTTGTGTTGATTGATACAGCAGGAGTAGGAGCCGTTTATTGAAGGACAGGAGCAGTATTTATACATTCCACACAGCTTATCTAATTAGCATAAACTAGATACATCAGTCAACCAATAAGGAATCTCCACACTTAATAGCTCGCTTTTGTTACTTCTCAAACCACTCCCTCTGGCATTTTGCCAGGCACCATCCAGACTTGTTTATGAACTCTAACATTTCTCTGGCAAAATGCCAGGTGTTATTTTGACTTGTTTACAGACTCTAACAATATATATATATATATATATAGAGAGAGAGAGAGAGAGAGAGGATATATGTGTGTATGTTTGTGTGTCAGCCCATATATAAATAAAGGCTGGAAAGAACATTCAGAATGTTACAAGTGGTGAATTGCTAACAAGTTTTAATTTTCTTCCTAATATTTTCCCTGTACTTTTCAAGTGTTCTACAGTGAACATGTATTTATTTCTATGATTGAAAATTTTGAATTGTATTTTTTGCTGTTCACACCTGTAATCCCAGCAACTCAGAAGGCTGAGGCAAGAGGATGGCAAGTTCAAGGCCAGCCTCAGCAATTTAAAATTATTTTAAAAATAAACCAATATACCATGAATCCCAAACCTTTCAGATCCTCCTACGCTTTTTCAAACTTTTGTGTCTATACCTGTCAGGTACTTTTTTTTTTGGCAGGAGGGGGGGTGTTACTGGGGACTGAACCCAGGAGTGCTCTACCACTGAGTTACATCCCACAGTACTTTCTATTTTTTTGAGACAGGATCTTGATGAGTTTCTGAAAGTGTACTCAAACTTGTAATCCTCTTGCCTCAGTCTCCCAAACCATCACTGGGATTATAGGCATGAACAACCACCCCCAGGAGGCCTCCCAAGTACTTCTAGCCATCTTTTTTCTGTCTCCTCTTACTTCACTATTCAACCAACAAATATTTATTGAGGGTTATTATGTGTCAAGAATTGTACTAGAGTCCAAACTATAAATAAAATATGATTCCTATCAAAAAGGGATCACAGTCTTACGGGAGATCACTTAAGAAGCTATTGAAGGGCTGGGGATGTGGCTCAAGCGGTAGCACACTCGCCTGGCATGCGTGCAGCCCGGGTTTGATCCTCAGCACCACATACAAACAAAGATGTTGTGTCCGCTGATAACTAAAAATAAATATTAAAAATTCTCTCTCTTTAAAAAAAAAAAGAAGAAGCTATTGAAGTGATCCAGCTACAGGATAGAGGGTGGCTTAAGCTAATTATAATCAAGTTAAAATTAATTGGGCATTTATTGTATGTCACTCTGCTAAGAACCTTATATTTATTATATATTTAAATCCTCACAACCTGTAATGATGTAGGTACTATTTCCTTTCCTATTTAATAGATATAGGAAATTTAAATGGTAAAATTAAGGTTTGAACCCAGGGAGTCTGACACTAGAACTAAGGGAATGAATGGTGGTACTATTTGCTCAAGACAGAAAAATATAATAGATGGCACAAGTTTGGGGGTAGGTTAGGAGATAATGAGTCATTTTTATATATGTTGGCTTTGAGTGATGTCCAAAGAGCAGCTGATTATATGTGTCTGAACATAAGGAATGATTTGTAATTGAGCTATATTTGTGAATCATCAGCCTACAGATGATAATTTAATCTGTGGGAGTATTTGACATTACTCACGAAAAATGTGAAGAGTGAGAGTTTGGGGTATAAACAGGGAAAATCAGGAATGCAAAAAGACTGACAAGGAAGGAATTGCCAGAAAGAGAGAAAAGCAGGAAGCTATGATGCTTTGGGATGTTTTTAAGAGTTCCATGAGATTAGAGACTACTCAATCTCTTCATATCTCTGAAGCCTAACATACATATCCCCCCACCAAAAGCAATATATGTTGAATAAACAAATGTATAAATAAGTGATCAACAAAACCAGTTGCTAGAGAGGAAAAGGAAGGGCTAAAAAGTGTTTGCAGAATTTAGCAATAACGAGTTGTCTGGTGTCACTGCTGAAGATATCAAGTAGAAATATGAAGGCCAAAGCCATGCTGCAGAAGTCTGAGGAAGAATTGGAGGTGAGGAAATAGAAACAGGAGTTTCAAGTAAGACTGAAAAGAAATATAAGATGGCATTTGAGGGAGAGAGGTGACAGGGTTTTTTTTTTTTTTTTTGTTTTAATACTTTTAGGTATAGATGGACACAATATCTTTATTTATTTTATGTGGTGCTGAGAATCAAAGCCAGTGCCGCACACATGCTAGGCAAGGGCTCTACCACTGAGCCACAACCCCAGCCCTGTGTTTTTTTTTAAAGTTTAATTCTATACTCAATACCTTTTCTCTACTTTAACTGTTTAGCAACATCATGCATATATGACTTTAAGATCTTTATCACTAGCCTTGACCTATTCCCCAAATTTCATTGACAAGTCAGTAACCACTCACAGGTAATTCTAAATTTATGGCCCATTAAAATTAAGCAAATCATATAGGGATAAAGGACATTAGAAAAATCTGGCTCCAGGTACATCATAAAGATGTTACAAAAAAAATGGATTCATATCTTTCAAAACTTCCAATGGCTCCTCATTACCTTGCATGCCCCAGTTTTCCCATCTCTGTGTTCTTTGGTTTTCTCATCTGTAAACTAAGGAAAATATAAATATCTGATCAAAATATCATGATAATATTGAACAATGAAATGAATTGTTATATGTAAAGTTCTTATAACTAAGCCTGGCACATAATATGGACTATGTAAAGACTTGCTGTGATTGTGATACTTCAGTAAATTGCACTGATTTGTTCAAGCCAGAAACCTAAGAGTCATTCCTGATTTTTCTCTCTCCCTTCCTCAACTGCTACATCCAATTCATCTCCAAGTTACCAATTCTATCTTCGAAATATATCTCAAATCCACCCAGTCCACTCTATTCTACCTCATTGGTCCAAGCCACCATTGGCCCTGCTGGGATTACAAACACCTCCTAATTTTCCTGACCATTCTCCATATAGCAACAAGATTTTTAACGTTTAGGGGGAAAAAAAAAAAGTCTAACACACATTCAAAGAGGAGAGTGAGAAATACTAAATCAACAAGAGGGCACTGTTGTTTGCAGCCAATCATTAAACTGTTACTTTCTTTCTTTTCTCTCTCATCAAGTAAAGCTTGATGTATGCAGTAAATACACCTACACAACCATCAGATCATCTTTTAAAAATGTAAACCTGGGCTAGGATTGTGGCTCAGTGGTAGAGTGCTTGCCTAGCATGGGTGAGGCAGTGAGTTCGATACACAGCACCACATTAAAAAAACAAATAAATAAAGGCTAAATTCTTTTTTTAAAAAAATGTAAAGCTGATCATGCCTCTGGTGTATAAACCCTTTAATGCATGCCTTTTGTACTTAAGACTAAAATTCAGGATCCTTCCTATGGCCTGTGAGTCTTGGGCAGTTTAGTGCTGTGTCTAACATTATTTTATGTCTTTCAGTCACTCATTTCACCTTTTGCTAGCTCTATTAGCCCTCAAACACACCAAGCAGTTTCCCACCTTAGGCCATTAACAAATATTGCTCTTAATGTCTAATATTCTTTCCCCCAACTTCTCACATGACTAGCTTCTCATAATTTAAGTCTCTGTTTAGTTGCTTCAGAAAGGCATTCTCTGATTACCCAATCTAAAAGGTTCTCTTCTCTCAACACTCACTGCTACCCTAATCCTAGCTCTCTTATTCAATTTGTAAATTGCATATTTATTCTCTTTTCCTACTAGACTGTAAATTCCATGAAGGCAAATATCATGTCTATTTTTATTACTGCTTGACACTCATTACCTAGGATAATGCCTGACACATAGCAAGTACTCAGCATTTTTGCCGGGCGTTGTTGTGTATGCCTGTAATCCCAGTAATTAGGAGGCTGAGCAGGAGGATCTCAAGTTCGAGGTCAGCCTTAGCAATTTAATGAGGCCCTAAGCAACTTGTGAGACCCTTTTCCAAAATAAAAAATAAAAGGGGGGCTGGGGTTGTGGCTCAGTGGTAGAGCACTTGCCTTGCATGTGTGAAGTACTGGGTTCAAGACTCAGCACCACATAAAGATAAATAAAGGTATTGTCCATCTACAACTAAAAATTTAAAAATAAAGATATTTGAAAAGAAAAAATATAAAAATAAAAAGGGCTGGGGATGTAGTTTGTTAGTAGAGCACCTCTAGGTTCACTCTCCAGTAACCCCCCCTTAAAAAAAAAAAAAAACAACTCTCAGTATTTCTTGAATAAATTCTAAAATCAGCAATTAAGGCCTTCTATAATCCACCTAAATCTACTTTTCAACATAGCCTCCATTATTGCTGTTGCCCTATGGTTAAACAAATGAAACCACTTTCTCCTTACATATACTCTACATTTCTCCCTTAACCTGGAAAGCCCTTTTACCACTACTGTGACTTGCCCCAAATGTACTAATCTTTTGAGGTCCATCTAATCCACAAAACTTTAGTGGACATCTGTTATGGCATGTGAGTGCAGCAGTACCAGGTTACGTCACTATATTAAAAAGCAACTGGCAGAGAGAAGCTGAGATTAAACATGAAGTTAAAACACCGATCTTCCCATTATTTGTTTGCATGGACCAATATACTTGGCTTCTGTTTAAGCTAATTTGAACAGCCTTATCTCTTCCAGCTGGTACTTCTATTAACCTATGTGATTTCTTTTAATGCCTTTTAATATAAAGTACAGTCACTTCTTACTGTACTGTACAATACATATAATCACCTCTTCCATTGTACTATACATTTGAGGGTGGGACTTTTTTATGAGGTATTTATTTGTTGACTATTAAGAACTGATTTTTTTAAACAGCCTTTCCTTTCTCATGTAATAACTTCACTTTACTTTTGGAGTATCCTCATGGAATTATTCATCAAGATGTCTTCTTTCCCATCTAAGAATGAAATAGAGAGTGGAAGGGGAAACTGAGCCAAGATTAGACAATTGGTATTTGAATTATGAGCACAATGACAAATATAAAGAAACTGAAGTTTGCTGACTGCAATAATGTTGCCTGGATGAGACTTTGCTAAATCCTGCTAGAAAAACCCAATAGGGGGCTGGGGCTGGGGATTAGCAGTAGACTACTTGTCTCCCATGTGTGAGGCCCTGGGTTTGGCCTCGCACCACATTAAAAAAAAAAAAAAAAAAAAATCCAATAGGATTGTGAAGTTCCTGTCCTTTGTGGGCTGGTTTGTTAGGTCCTTCATATACTTGTAATAATTTTTTTTTTTTTTAAATTGGTCTGTTTGTTTCTATTGTTTCCAATCAAAAGAATTCTGGTTGATACAATGTTAATTTCCCATTCGTTTATTAGTTAATGTTATTTCTCAACTTTCTTATGTGTGTATGTGATGCTGGGGAATTGAACCCAGGGCTTTGCGTATACAAGGCAAGCACTCTACAAATTGAACTATATCTCCAGCCCTCAACTTTGTATTTTTGATGTTATGAATGGTCAAGCACCTATTATGTACGAGATGCTTAATGTAGAAACGTTGTTTCTAGTCCTTAAAAAAATCTCACATGGGCTGGGGATGTGGCTCAAGCGGTAGCGCGCTCGCCTGGCATGCGTGAGGCCCAGGTTCCATGCTCAGCACCACATACAAACAAAGATGTTGTGTCTGCCGAGAATTAAAAAATAAATATTTTTAAAAAATCTCACATCAACTAGACTTTCTCAGTTATTTTAGTGGAGTAAAAAACATTTTAGAACCATAATTAAAGGTAACTTCAAGATTGAAACAAAACTAAACCCAAACTTTGTTTTTTGAGGGTTCTAAGTGTGCGTACCTACTGTCTACCTCTAGCACAGTGAATAATACTTTCATTATTAGCTCTTTAGTTCTGAGATAGGGAAGGGATAATAAGGGAGGAGTTGAACTCTTAAATCCAAGTCCAATAAAACTGAATCAGACTCAAAGGTGGTAAAGTTGTATACAATTTGTACTTTGCAAAGCCTACATATTTTACATTAGTTTCGTTTTACAAAATGAAAAGCTCCAAGCACCTCCTGTGTCAAAGCGCCCCAGTTCATCCTAGAATTCATCAGGATCCCTCTGCTTTAGCACTGTATTCATAACTTCCTACCCGGTACGAAGGCAGGAAACCATTCTCATCTAATATAAAAAGTGCCTAGAAATGTTAACTAAATGTAACATCTAAGAGACGGTCAAGCTTGAAAAGTAATTGTCTCAAGTTCTGACGAACAAGAGGGCCTTTCTCATTCCAGTAATCCTTCTTTGTAATTGGATGCAAAAAAGCCAGAGCTTCTCTCTCTGCCGGGTCGCTTCAAATCCTTTCCCGAAGGCTGCAGAAGAAAAATTAAGCACCAGCCCCGCCACGTGTGTAAGAAAAGTGTCCTCTCACCTCCAGATTCCCTTTCTCCCTACCCTCCGGGTTCGCTGGCCCCAGGGAAAACAGGCCTCGGCAGCGGGGCCGGAGCTCCACCTCCCGGCGCCACACTATGTCAGAAAGACCTGCGCAGAGAGGGTCGGAAGGGTGGCTTCCCACCGCGGCAGAGCCTTCTAAGGGAGCAAAAAACAAAAAGCGGAAAATCCATCTGCAAAACCAAGCTCCTTATTACCTCCTAAATAAAAGGAGACGGAAGCGGAAGTCCCGGTGTAGGTCATAGAGTACCCTTGTTCCGGTTTCAGTGTTGCGTTCGGGACTAGAGCGCCTTTCTTCCGCCGGCCGTCCCTGGGGCCCTTGCGGCTTCTGTTTCCGGGTGTGGCTTCTGTCATAAAGCAAAGCCGAGACGTTCTTTCTAACGTGGCGTCGTGGGCACTTTGCGCCTCGCCTGGGGTCAGCAAGCAAGGACGAGCGTCGACAGGGGTACTTTGTAGCCAACAGCTGGAGCCGTCCTTGCGTCCCGGGCCCTCGCTGTGGCACCTGTGATACCTCTGAGCTGGCTGGATTTTCAGCCCTCACAGGGGCGCTGATTCGCAGCTCCAGGACTGCAGGTCGAGAGGCCAGCGCTCCTTAGCCCATACCCGTCCCTAGTCTCGCTCTGCCCTGTAAAGTGCAGCATTTGAAGGTGCCCCCTACCCACATATCACTTCAGAGCGCGCGGAAGTTAACTTTCTTCTTAACCTCACTTTGACATCTGTCCACTCTTCCCCTGCAGAAGAGATCTTTTCCTCTCAGTTGAATCTCCCCGTAAAACAAATTTGAAGTCCCGGATGTCATGCAGCTCCCATCGGATAAAAACTTTCTTTAAAAGTTCATGCTTACTAGGGAGTTTGTGGGAAAAGTGAAACCCAATATACACAGAACACTATGGCTGAGCACGGAGCGCACATTACAACTGCTTCTGTGGCTGATGACCATCCATCCATCTTTGAGGTGGTAGCCCAGGACAGTTTAATGACAGCAGTGAGACCTGCTCTGCAGCATGTGGTTAAGGTAAGGTATTCTGAAAGGTGTCAGGAACGATTGGGTAAAAATACCAAACTATTGTTTGACAGCCTAGGGTTTGAAATAAGTAATTTGTTTATAATTGATTTCTCATGGCCTAATGGATATTTAGTCCATCAGTATTGAGTCCCATACTCAGTACCTAGCACTTGAGGGACATTGTTAGACCCCAAAAGGAGTTGACTTGTTTAAGCCAAATAGAATTTAAAGGGGAGGAGGAAATGTAAATTCATGGTATAGTAGCTGTGTACTAGAATTTCATTTGATTTCTTTTGCTTTAGGTTCTTGCAGAATCCAATCCTGCCCAATGTGGCTTCTTTTGGAGGTGGTTTGATGAAATCTTTACTCTGCTAGATTTTCTGCTCCAGCAGCACTATTTGTCTAAAACCAGTGCCTCATTTTCTGAGAACTTTTATGGCTTAAAGCGCGTTGTAATGGGGGACTCTCCCAGGTTGCAGAGACTGGCCAGCTCAGGTCTCCCCAAGAAGCAGCTTTGGAAATCAATTATGTTCCTGGTTCTTCTTCCCTATCTGAAAGTGAAGCTGGAGAAGCTGGTCTCCAGCCTGAGAGAAGAGGATGAATATTCCATTCATCCTCCTTCTTCCCACTGGAAACGATTTTACAGAGCCTTTCTGGCAGCCTATCCATTTGTTAATATGGCCTGGGAAGGTTGGTTTCTTGTACAACAACTTCAATACATCCTAGGAAAAGCTCAGCACCACTCACCCCTGCTGAAGCTGGCTGGAGTTCGGCTAGGTCGACTGACAATTCAGGATATACAAGCTCTGGAGCACAGACCAGCTGAATTTGGCAGGATGCAGCAACCAGCCAGGAGGTAAGGCCTTAACACTCCCAAAACATCTTTTAAAAAATTCTAAAATCTTATTCCACTTTTATGAAATTTACCTCCCTCAGTCTATTTTTGTTTTATAAAATCATAGAAAAGTTATTCCTTGTGTCCATAAAACAAGGACTGCCATCTTGGTAGCACTATCATACTAATTACATTTTAATGCTAGGCCCCAGACTAGGTGTTTGCTTTATGTACACTTTTTTTTTTTAGATGGACACAATATCCTCATTGTACCTTTATGTGGTGCTGAGGATTGAACCCAATGCCCCACGCTGAGGATTGAACCCAATGCCCCACGCATGCCCCCCGCCCCCGTACATCCAATTTTAAGCCTGATCACAACCCAATGAAGTAAATGCAGTTTCTCCATTGAACAGTTGAGGAAACCAAACCTTTACTCCTTGGCGAAGACTGCAAAACTAGAAGATGGTAGAGTTGAGATTCAAGACAAAGCAATACAATTCTAAATCATATTGTATCACTTCTAGCTAGTGCTTGTGTTCTCCTACAAGTTCCTTTGTGTGTATGTGTATAATAAAATGATGCTGAGATATTTTTGTAAAAGAATTGTTTTTTTTTTTTTTAATATTTTTTATTGTAGGTAGACACAATACATCTTATTTATTTTTATGTGGTACTTGGGATTGAACTCAATGCCTCACACATGCTAGGCATGTGCTCTACCACTGCACTACCACCCCGGCCCAAATTATTTTTTTCTGGATGTACTATCTTCAACTAAAGTCTGCATAATCAAATTCTCTACTAATTTCTTTCTTAAAACTTTAACTTTTTCTTTTTAAATATTATTTTAGTTGTAGATGGATGCAATATCTTTGTTTACTAATTTATTTTTATATGGTACTGAGGATTGAACCCAGTGCCTTGATGTGCGAGGCAAGCGCTGAGCTATAGCCCCAACCCCAAAACTTTAACTTTTTATTATTAAAAAAAGTTCAGTCCATACTGTGAGTCAGAAAGAGGAAATCATTTAGAATAGATCCTTAAGAAGAAAGGATGCCCATCTAGCAACAAGTCAATTCCCAAATCAGAGATTTTGATGAAAAGTGCAGAACTGCATTTATATTTTGGTCATTCTATGATTATAACTAGATAAACAATTTTTCTCTTTGCCTCCTTGTTCTCTTCCTAACAGTGTTAGTGAGAAGATAAAGTCAGTTCTGAAGAAAGCTATGGGGGGTGTTGCCTTATCCCTCTCAACTGGCCTTTCTGTTGGTGTATTCTTCCTGCAGTTCCTTGATTGGTGGTACTCATCTGAAAATCAAGAAACCATCAAATCACTAACTGCACTGCCTACCCCACCACCACCTGTACACCTAGACTACAACTCTGACTCTCCCCTCTTACCCAAAATGAAGACTGTGTGCCCTCTGTGCCGTAAAACCCGGGTGAATGATACTGTTCTTGCCACCTCTGGTTATGTGTTTTGTTATCGCTGTGTGTTTAATTATGTGAGGAGTCACCAAGCTTGTCCCATCACAGGTTATCCAACAGAAGTACAACATCTAATTAAACTGTACTCTCCTGAGAACTAAAAGGAATTAGCATCTTGTCTCATAACTTAAGTGTTGCACTGTAAGGCCACAGGGTTGTTTTTCAGCATGGTATATAGCACTGATACTTCTCTGCCCCAATTCATTAACTATATTAACTTAAACAACATATGGTTTTCTTTAAAAAACATACCTACTTGATCCTATCCTTTTAGCCTGCTCTTTAGACCCCTTCTACAGTTGACCAAGCTGGTTAAAATTAGGATAATCAAGATTATAGGGCATATGAGGCTCAATATAGAGATGGACAAAAATTAGTACAGAAGCTTTTCTTCTTCTCAAAGAATAAGAGGTACAGAAGCACTCAAGAAAACCCCAGGTTAGGCCTCATAGTTGGGTGGTGAGGAAGCAGGACTTCTTTGCAAAAGGCATTTATCTCCCTGTGAGGCAGAGTTTTTTATCAGTTCACAAATGCTCTTTATATAGAGCAAAACAACTCCCTCCACATACTGTGAACCATTTGTTAATCTGCTATAGTGTATCAGCTTTGAAGATTCTTTTATGAGTCATAATCTCTTTCTTGGGAAAGTGGTCGAAGAAAAATAGGAAAAAAAAAAGTTTACATAGAGTATGAAAATTTCAATGTGAAAGCAAAGCTAGCAAGCCATGAAAAGATAATATAACATAGTTATCCAACTGTGAGTAATAAAAACACCTTTCAATAAGCTCCTTCTGCTTGCTAATAATAGTTTGTTCAACTCGTATGAATTATTCTGGTTATTACTAAAGTTTCTATGAAACAATCAAGTAAAAATCTTAAGAATAAATGTTTCTGGCAAAAAACTATTCCATGCTGTCATGATTATGTGGAAACTTAAAAGATTACTCAACATGTTTTTAAAATAAATTTTCATTCAGACTATGTTTGGCTTCTTATATATTTTGGTATTAATTATTAACATTTTGCATTTACATTTTTTTTTTGGTAATCCAATAATTAGAACAAAATTTCTCTGTTCCTACATCAAGAATCAACTTTGTGTGAAATACCTTGTTTCAGAAATGCTATAGAAACACTGAAGCCTATATGGGAAAATTTATGCCACTGGATTAGCAGGTTGGTGAAAACATGGGTTTTTAAAGAAATCTTTAATAGAATAGGATGGATAAAAATAATTTAAGCGCCTTTGCTGAGATATGTGTTTTTCTATCCTTTCCTCATTTTAGCAACTCAAAGTACATTCTTTGATAGCATAAAGATGATACTGCTAAATTTCTAAATGGAGTAGCTAAGAAAAATCCTATGGATTTTTTTCTTTTTGAGGGGTACTGGGATTGAACTCGGGCACTCAACCACTGAGCCACATCCCTTGCCTATTTCACATTTTATTTAGAGACAGGGTCTCATTGAGTTGCTTAGTGCCTCACTTTTCTGAGGCTGGCTTTGAACCCACAATCCTCCTGCCTCCCAAGCTGCTGGGATTACAGGCGTACAACATGGCACCCAGCAATCCTATGAATTTTAAAATGTTAAAATTATTACATACCACAAAAGAGTACATATATTTTTTTTAATTTATAAAACCTCCAAGGTTTTACCAAACAAATAACAGTTAATGAAAACATTTTTCATACAGTCAATAAGGGAACTGATTCAGATTCAGGATTGAAATGATGCAGTCCTTCACGAAGATTTCAAAGCCAGATTTTCCACCTCAACCTAAAAAGAGAAATATGAAAGTATCAATAATTCAAACATTTATCAAAAACAAACTTATACATAATAACACCAATATCCAAACAAGCTAGAACATGTGTGTTCTAAAACCACAACCAGAATCAGCTCAGAGAGAAGATTAAGGGATCATACCCTGGTCAAAGCCAACATTAAAGCAATGGCAATACCAGGTCAGTCTATACTTCGCTCATCATTGCATCACTACATTTCACCTTGTATTACCTAAAAGCAGCTGAATGTCCTACACATCCAAGAAAACTTAGGCTTACCTATGAAAAACAAGTTTCTTTTTAGATATTTTTCAATCATGGGATTCCAATATTTTATCTTTACTATGCTTTCAGTAACTCTGCTGTACAAAAATGCAAACTTGACCAAGTTTTGTTTTGGGGGGGAACTTTTTTATTTTGAAGCAGAGGCAAGTAGAGAAGCATTTACCATTCAGAAACACTTTTTTTTGTTTTGTTTTGTTTAAAAGAGCCCTGACTCCATGCATGATAAAATCTCAGGGATGTTTGTTAAGAATTTATAAGCCGGGTGTGGTGACACATGCCTGTAATTCCAGCAGCTTGGGAGGCTGAGATAGAAGATCACCGAGTTCAAAACCAGTCTCAGCAATTTATCAAGGCCCTAAGCAACTCATTGAGACCCTGTCTTTGAATAAATTACAAAAAAAGGATGGGGATGTGGTTCAGTGGTTAAATGCCCATGAGTTCAATCCCCGGCACCAAAAAAAAAAAATTTATAGAATTTATAGTTCTAAAGCAGAAGCTTTAGAAAAGACTTTCTTACTAAATTATAAAGTCCAAGCCGGGCACTGTGGCCCACCCCTGTAATCCCAGTAGCTCAGAAGGCTGAGGCAGGAGGATCACAAGTTCAAAGCCAGCCTCAGCAACTGTGAGGCACTAAGCAACTCAGTGAGACCCTGTCTCTAAATACAAAATAGAGATAGGGATGTGGCTCAGTGGTCAAGTACCCCTGAGTTCAATCCCCGGTACCAAAAAGAAAACAAAAAAGAAAATTATAAAGTCCAGTTCATTAAATATAAAATTCAATTTATAATTCTACCAGGAAAGATAAAAATCACAATGCTTTTGGATATGGTGACACATGTCTGTGGTCCCAGCTACCTGAGAGGCTAAGGCAGGAATTCCAATCACTTGAGGTCAGGAATTAGAGGTCAGCCAAGACCCTCTCTCTAAAACAAGCAAAAATACAGTCACAAAATTTTTATACAATAATCTTCTAATTTAAGAATCCAAGACTCAGGCTATGATTTGCTAAAAGTCTACAGCAAATTAACATCAGAGAGAAACTGGGCCTGATTATCAGATTTATTTTTCTACTAATAGCATCCAGGTTCCTATCCTTCACTAATGTGGGAGGCCATTGGCAAGATAAAGCAAGGCAAATCCTGAGTAATCTACAACGTGAATAATGAATTTCTGAATGAGAAAGCTGACTACACTTAGTTTATTCCAAGTGATATATTCTGGTTGTATACTATTGCTTACATAGAAAAATACCAGTATCACAAAGTCACTTTCTCCACACATTTGTCATCATATTGTCAATATGTGAATTACAATTCTGGAGTGATCATATACTTACTTCCTGTCTGTAAAATGTCAATAGACTGATATTCCATAATTAAAAATGGTCAGCTTTTGATCTATGTTTGTCTTTCAACAACTAAGCCCTATAAGGAGACAGAAACTAACTAGGTTCCTGTTAAACATGGGCTAGCTCTTCATCCCTTACAAGTGTAACAAATATGTCAGAAATGGTGGGGAGGGGGAACTGAGAGCTTAATTTAAATAAATCTGCCTAAAATCATGAAATCTATGAGGAATCCTGAGCTCTGAATCATATATATTTTTAGTTGTAGATGGACACAATAACTTTATTTATTTATTTATTTTTATGTGATGCTGGGATCAAACCCAGTGCTTCACCTGTGGTAGGCAAGCACTCTACCAATGAGCTACAACCCCAGCCCATGATTGCCTGATTTTTGTTCCTTCTACTAGACCAGACTGCCTCCAGCTTTTCTCCCATCCAACATACACCCTCACTAACCTTAAAATATGGGGGTGTGATTATTTCATTACTCTCAAGCATTCAATTATTCCCCATGGTCCAAGAAATAAAACCCAAACTGCTATGCTTAGCATTCTCCATGTTTCAATACTGACCCACGCATGAAGCCTTGAGTTCAATCCCCAGCACCCAAACCAAAACAAAACAGACCTAGATGTATCTTTTTTTTTTTTTTTTAAATATTTATTTATTTTTTAGTTCTCGGCGGACACAACATCTTTGTTTGTATGTGGTGCTGAGGATCGAACCCAGGCCGCACGCATGCCAGGCAAGCGTGCTACCACTTGAGCCACATCCCCAGCCCTAGATGTATCTTTAATACCATAACCCTAACATGTACTTTACAGTCTACCCAACCCATACTCTTCTTAAATCCGCTATTTGACCTTGTGCCTTCCATGCAGGAAGTTCTTATTTCCCTTAGTAGAAATCCTTCCCATACAGCAATCCCACCTCTCCAGTTTGTGACCCTCCAAAATGACACTTTGCATAAAGCCATCATCCAAAAGGAAGTATCTGGCCTTCCTCTGAATTACAGAAGCATGTGAATACTATCTTGTGGAACCTATCTTACGTTGTGTTTTAAGATCCAGAAAGACTCCTAACATGGAATTCAAGCTTTGCTCCAGCCATAACCAACAGATAAATCTTCCTAATTTCTCTGGTCTGTACGTACACTCTGCTACACTGGAGTGCCTTCCATTATTCCATTCAATGGGGAGAATCCCTAAGTTTGATTTTAGGATTACTCAAATGTCATCTTTTCTATTTCCCCCAGTCAAACCTTTCTCTGACTCTCACAGCATTTTCTTCCACCACAGCACGCATCACCTGCCACCTCATCCACTCACGTTTTCTCCCCTCTCTCCCACCAGTCCTGTTAGGAGTTCCTAAAGAATAAGGACTAGTTTCCGTAAAGGGTACTTAGAAGGAGTTCAATACAAGAGCGTTTAATTCAGTCAATGGGCGACCGACCCTACCAAAGCCTAAACTTCTGGATTATATAAAAGCTTAGCATAATTAATAAAGCGGACTTACCTCCAATGTGTCACGTGGGTAAGGACCACACCTCAGCATCTCCAAGCCCTCATTCCCCCACCCTCTAGCTCACACGCTCTGAAGAGATCCCTCCGCAGGACAACCGTGCTTACACGCAGTAGATTCTCAAATAAAGTTAAGGTCCAAACCCCGCCAATTCCAAGAACGACTGAAGCCGTCCTTGGCGGGGAGAAACAGGAGTAAGGCCGAAGCCAGGGCTCAAATCAAAAGCCCAGGCAGGTATCCACAACCCGCTTTCCGAACGCCTAAACCTCCTACGATCCAGACTCTCAGCAGGCACGTCCTCGCCTGGGAGACTAATGGCAGCCAAGCCCCAGACTCTCCGACCTCAGCCATGGCTGCTTCCCGCGTCCTCTTCCCTCTACCTAGCTCCTGGGTCCGCATCCCACAGCCCAGCGCGGCCCCTGGGTAGACAGCCAATCCCGGGGCGTTCATACGTCACGTGGGTGAGCGTAAGGCGGGGCTGGCCTGAAGAGCAGCCAATTGGAGACCGAGGCAAACGCCAGCGCTAGAACTGACAAGGTGGTGGAGGCATCTTTTCGGTTCCCCTCTCTGCGTCGCCTCTAGTCTCCCTGCAATTTTTACCCCGATACAATTCCCTGTCCTCGGATCTCGAAGCCACTGTTAGGCCGAATAATTTTGCCTGTGTCTTGACGTTTAACAACGGGGAAGAGCCTCATGCGAGGTGGTGGAGTATGTGTGCCCTAGGCTTGCAGGAAAAACTTTTAGACTTTGATCCCACACCCCAGTAATTATGGTGCTCGTCTCAGGTTCCCACCTGAGACTAGGGGTTGCGGTGGGTCCAACAGATGAGGGTGTCCTTCCCTGTCCAGGGAGAACTCGTTGGGTGGCCGGGCTTTTGGACACTTCCAAAGAAAAAAAAAGAAAGAAAGGTGTCAAAAGAAAAGTGCAGCTAAATGCAAAAGTCGTGGGAAGGCAAGCCGGAAAGACCTGCCTGGGAGGGGTGGCATTTCTTCTGGGTCTTGAAGGATGGCTGATATTTGAGGATTAGGAGGTTCTAGAAGAAAGAAAGATTTAAACTCCGAATTAGCTGAGAAAGCAAGTTTAACAAATTTTGATAAAGTTGATAGGTACTTCTCAAAATTCTATGAGTTAAGCCGGGCGTGGTGGCGCACACCTGTAATCCCAGCAACCCAAGAGGCTGAGGCAGGAGGATTCCAAGTTCAAAGCCAGCCTGAGCAATTTAGCCAAGCCCTAAGCAACTTAATGAAACCCTGTATCAAAATAAAAAAGGCTGAGGATGCGGCTCAGTGGCAAAATCCCCCTGAGTTCAATCAGGACTAGGATTTGAACACCCTATGTATCTCTACCCGGTACCCAATAAATAAATAAATAAATAAATGAAATTCAATGAGTTAGAAACACCTGTCAGCAATACAGATATCCTCCAACGTAAAAAAAAAAAAGTGTGCCTGGCACCAAACCAAGAGTGTCCAACCATTCTTTTTTTTTTTTTTTTAAAATATATTTATTTATTTTTTAGGTGTAGATGGACACAACATAATGCCTTTTATTTTTATGTGGTGCTGAGGATCGAACCCAGGTCCCACCCGCGCTAGGCGAGCGCTCTATCACTGAGCCACAATCCCAGCCCCAACCATTCTTTTTTAAAAAATATTTTTTAAAATTTAATTAGTTATATGTGACAGCAGAATGCATTACAATTCATATTACACATATAGAGCACAATTTTTTATAGCTCTGGAGGTACACAAAGTAGAGTCACACCATTCCTGTCTTCATACATGTTCTTAGGGGTAATGATGTCACGTGAGTGAGCGTAAGGCGGGGCTGGCCTGAAGAGCAGTGAATTGGAGACCAATCAGATTCTAGGGTTCAGTCCAATCATGTGTATTTTTAATAAAGGCTCCAGGGGTGATTCTGATTCACACCAAAATTTAAGAACCAGTGTTAGTGTTAAAGAAAAGTGGTAGGAGAAAAGTGGGCTAAGGCTTTGCTAAGGGTATTAGCTAATTGGCTATGTAGTTGATAGGTGCTTCTCAAAATTTTATAAGTTAAGCCAGGCGTGGTGCACACATTATTATTATTATTATTCTGGAGAAAGTAGGAGAATTAAAGATTTCAGAGGCCAAGGAGTTGGGTGATCAGGGTTGTACTTAAGGAAACTCAATCTGCAACTGTGTTTAGTTTAGAGGGGACTAAAGAGTGAAAGCAGGGGAAGGAATCTCAAGGTGAAAGCTAAGAGCCTAAATGAGACTAGCAGTTGAAAAGGAGTGGTGACAAAGGAAAGGCGAATGAGGATTGCAATGAGTGTCAGTGATGGGCAATGGAGGAAAACAATGGCTTCTGTACCAGAACCATCCAGAACCTCTCTTGTACTTTCTAAATCTTATCTTTTTTCTCAACCTAGTGCTTCCTTCCTTACAGGTTCCAGTGCACACATGTCATTTGGGAAATCTTTTCTGATTCTCACAAGTATATTTATTGTCATAGTTATTGTCACTTCTCAGAATACCCAGTGTACACTGCTCATATATTGCTAGCTCTAGAGTGGCTCTAGACTGCATTGGTCATGCACATGCAACTTAAACTTGGTTCTTCAGTTTTCCTGTCTGTAAGGAGAATAAGAGGGTGATAACAGCATCTGCCTCACAAAGATGTCATAAGATGAATAAGCACAATGCCTAGTACACAGAATCCTCAGATGATGTTATTGAGTCACTATTATGAGTTGTTTAATACATGTTTTCCCTCTTTTAGGTTGTGAACAGGACATGTGTCTTATTTTTCCAGCTATCAGTTAGGCTATGTGGCAGAATGTAGTAGATGGGCTTTGGATTTAGATAGACCAGTGTTCAAATCCCAGTTCTGTTACTTACTAGATAAGTAATCTTGAGCTTTATTTATCTTGCTGAACTATTTTGTCATTTATAAGATAATAGAAATAATATGTCTTATAAATTGTTATGAGGATCATATGAAAGAATGAAAATTGCATATTTGGTCCAAATGAGGCAGTCACTAAATGGCAGTTTTTATTTTGGCATGTTTCCTCAGAGCACAGCGTCATGTTTGGAACATAGTAATCACTCAATAATTGATGCTTGAATGAAAAACTGACATTATATGTGTGGCACCATGCCAGACTCTTTTTATGTATTGTGTGACTTAATTCTCACAAGTACTCTGTGCAGAAGCACTATTATTATCTCCAATTTATATGGAAAGGTCCTAAGGCTTAGATTAGCTTAACGTAGGTCTAATAGCTAGAATGTAGCAGGACTAGGGTTTGAACACCCTGTGTATCTCAAAACAGCTGATTGAATAAAAGTTTTCTAACACAGAGTCAAGTGGTGGCATTATGGAGCCAAGACTGTTGTTCTTGGTCACTGTTTTCTCCACAGTCATCTCTCTGAAAGAATTGAGGGTGAGATGGAGGCACCTGGTAGTTAGGAACCAACCCTTCCTCTTCAGCAGGTATTTGACAGTTTCTTTTGATGAATATGCAGGCTGTGGATAACAATCTTTGCTGATAAACCGAAATATTTAGTGAATAGACACATCTTAAACAAATTGGGTGTTCTGGTTTTAGTCAGTTTGATAATATAGCATGGCCAGATAATTTTCTCAAGACCAAAGGAAAAAAGCACTATCCAAGCTATTGATTTCAAGTTGTTTTACATCAGGAACACTTGCTTTAGAGATATCAAAGCCAGTATTGGGCTAGGTTGTGGCTCAGTAGTAGAGTGCTTGCCTAGCACATATGAGGCCCTGGGTTCAATCCTCAGCACCACATAAAAATAAATAAATAAAATAAAGGTATCGTGTCCAATTACAACTAAAAAAATAAATATTAAAAAAAGACATGTCAAAGTCAGTATGTGAGTGGCTTCCTGGCATGACAGCCTAACTATTCATATCCAGAAGACTTAACTAAGGAGCTTTGGAGAAGGAAAAGAAACGCCTTTTTCTCATTGTCCACATTATACCTACCCGCTTTGGCTGATTTGACCCTCTACATTACACTACAGGAGAGTAAGGAGGGAGCAACAATCCAGTTCACTGTTCTCCAGACTGGTTGACTGGGAAGGAAAAGAGAAGGTACTTGGGGAAACTTCTGATTCTGAAGGCTGTCAAGCAACCCAGAAGCCCACACCTGAAATGCTGAAACAGGAGAAGGATCATTTGAATTAGATTTGGTTTTGAAGCCCAGCATTTCCATTTGCTGGTCATGTAATCTCAGTTTCCATGTAGTGTGTACAGCTCCCAGCAAGGTCCCTTGCATCAAGGAAGAACATTTCTAGTAAGTGGTAATCATTTTTACCCTTCTAAAAGTAAATAATTGCAGAAGATTTCAGTGCAGGAGTGAGACTGAGAATGAAGACAGGTAGTAGGACTGAAGTGAGACTGAATTCAGAAAAGGGAGTTAAAGTTGAAAAAAAAAAGAAGATAAAGTTGAAGTTGAGAGCAGGCTGTAAAAACTTACCATTCTTCTTAGATAATCATATGCCATAATATCCATTCTGTCTCCTATTCTGAAAACTCCACTCAGCCAAACATGTGTAAAGACTAGTGCCAACAAAGTAGAACTTTATAGGGGTGCTAACCTCAAGTTAACAAAAAAGATCAGATAAAATAAAATAAGCATGTCCAGAGACCTATGTAAGAATGTGACTTCATTGTAAACAAACTGAAGCAGAAAAATAGAACTGTTTGGCTGGTTTGATATGGAGAGAGAAGTGTTTAGTTTCCTGGATGCCATAACAAATTACCACAGACTTAATGGCTTAGAGGAAAAAAAATTCACAGATCTTTTAAAATCAGTTTAAGTAGGCTGAAATCAAGGTGTCTTTGGGGCCCTGCTCTCTCTAAAAACTCTATAGGAGAATCCATTCCTACTCTCCTCCAGTTTCTGTTGACTGCCAGCATTCCTTTGCTGGTGGCTGCATCACTCCACTCTTTGTCTCTATTATCACATTGCCTGTTCCTGTCTTGCATATATCAACTCTCCATCTCTCTCTTATGAGGACACTTAGGACAATATTTAGGATCCACCAGGTAATCCAGGATAATCTCCATTTCCCCATCTCAAGATCTTTAATCACATCTGCCAAGACCATGTTTCTTTATAAGGTAACATTTACCAATTCATAGCAAAGACAATAAGGGGAAACCATTATTTAGCCTATTACAAAAAAATTGATCCAGTTCAATCAACATCCCCAAATGAGATACCTGATTCTCAACACTTTATTTTTTAAAATTATAAAAATGATTCATGCTTATTGTGAACCATTTTAAAACATTACAGTACAGTTGAAGAAAAGAAAGGGAAAAAAAGAGAAATTAAATGAAAAACTATCTATAATCCTTCAGGCCAGGGACAACCAGCTCCCCATCTGTGTGCATTTTACTAGGCCGGGTCTTATCAAAGAGAAAGAGAAGTAAGTAGAATAGAACCAAGAAATTTGGAAGGTGATGAAATAAGTTAATATTGCTCACAATGAAAATGTACAGAGCAGCCTAATTTAAAATAAATGTGGAACTTGGCAACAAAATCAACCAGGGTGAAAGATGCTTGTCTGGTGTGTGGAACTGATGCTCATTCACTTAGAGGTTGTACATTTAACTTTGGCTACTCACGTGAAAACCCCTGAATTTCCCCCACAACAAGGACCTGATTCACTCTTTGAGGTCAGCCTGTGGCCTGCTGATCTGCCCTGACATAGGCTCTTCTTGAGTCCTTATCAGCCTTCCTCAGTGGGTCAATGTTATGATGACTGGGGGAGTCTGGCAGAGTTCCTGCTTCTCCCAGGCTGATATCACAGGGCCACAGAGATCGTGGCAGAAGGCAAACATTCGGACTGAAGCCAGATGTGGAACTGAAGCATCAAGAGGAAATAGAGGAGCATCAGGTAAAAAATTAGTTTTTAAAATCTCATTTATCTTATTTTAGGTGAAGTTTATGTCTGAGAGCAAGAAGGATTTAGTATAATAGTAACTAAGGGGAAACTTGTAAAGGGAAATGAATGAGAAATTCTGGGAAATGTGGAAAGATATTCAAATGGACCTAGAATCTCAGAAAGCTGACATTTCATGGTTGTTATCAGGTTCCAAGTAACATCAATGAGACTGGGAGTTGTAAAACAACTATAGGGTCTGCTAGTTCAAAATCAGTGAGACTCATGCTATGGGTCCCAGCAGTGAAAGTTATGAGAGACAAATTGCAGCTGAAAATAAGGAAGCTATTTCTAACAGAGCTGTCAGAAAATAGAATGGACTACTTTGAAACATAATGCATTTCTAGTCCTTGGAGGTATTCAAATAGTTGTTGAATTGCAATTTGTTGGGAGTTGGGAATATTACAGAAGGAATTTAAGAATCAGTTGGATGGTCGAATTTTGAAAGTCCCTTCCAACACTGCTGTGATTCTATGATATAAATAGAGTGTTATGAGAAATTTCCCTAAGAAACCATAAAATTCCACATTTACAGGTGCTTATAAGAGAGATTCATAGACTAAATAGAAGTTCCTCAGGTTGATTCTGGTTTTGCATGAAGGAGGTGAGAAGGTGACAAGGAAGAACCTAATATCAGGGGAGGGTACACATCCTGCTGGATGCCTGATTTTTCCCTCTTACTACAAACAACACCCACAATGTTGTTTTGCAAACATCACACAGAAGAGATAGGTACTCTTCTCCTAGAAGAAGACTTGTGGCCTGAGGAAGACTTGTGGCCTGAGTTAGTAAATATTTTGTTGTGTAATTATTATTTAGAATGGGTCCTTTCTGAAATATTGGCTTCAGAGCTCTAATTTCAATTCAAGTGACTGTTTCTCTGGACTATGAAACAAAAGAAGGGCTGACTACAATTTAATATCCAGGCCCCAAAGACTCATGTTTTTTTCAAAGTCTTGGAGATTTCCATAGCCCAGGGCAGAACTATTTGAAGGAAAGGAAAATCCCTCCTACATCACACTGTCTATGAAGAAATACACATTTACAATTTAGAAGAATATGTAAAAAAAGCTTAAAAGTTTGCATTGATATTGGATGACACTCTTTCAGGAGTAAAATAAGGTTTTAAAAATATATAAAATAACCCATAACAATACCAAATGTTATGTTTGTTTTTATAACAAGATCTTTTATAGCATATATGCTTACCAAAACGACAGTCCCTTATTTCTCTACTACTTGCCTTTATTTTCCCTTTGTGTTATAATTAGAAGCATCTGATTTTAATTTCTATTTCCACATATTTTCTAACAACATATTTGGGCTCCTGTGCTAACCTGTGCCCTTTGTATCTGGGCTCAGTGTTGGTGTTTCCTGATTTTAAGTGAGAAATGGCTGAAAATGTCAGCAATATAATTTTTTATTTAAAAATATATATTAAGCATTCTATATATATATATATATATATATATATATATATATATATATTATTATTTTGCTAGAAAGACTAAAGATATTTGGTAAAGTTGTTAGAAAACAGTAATGGCAAAAATTATTTCTAAGGTTAAAATGTATCTCCAAAAATTTATAGCTCTGAAGAAAATATTCATCTCTGGAATTCTCATCAACATAGAAACCTCATTTCTGTCCTGATTACTTATAGGAACCCCTTTCTCTTGTGGTTCGGAGTGAAGAGAGGCTTCTGAAATGGAAAGTCTCCAAACTGATGTAGAAACGCACTATGCTGAGCTCATCATAAAAGTGGGTAAAGTGACTTTTGGAGAAGAGAACAGGAAAAGGATGACCGATAGCAGGTTGAAAAGAATTGAGAATTCAAATATCATCCAGGCTATTTGTGCACTGTTAAATTCTGGAGGGGGTGTGATCAAAGCAGAGATTGATGATGAAACCTACAGTTACCAATGTCAAGGACTGGGACAGGATTTGGAAACTTCATTCCAAAAGCTCCTTCCTTCAGGTTCACAGAAATACCTTGACTACATGCAGTACAGGCACAATCTCCTGATTTTTGTGAAATCATGGAGCCCAAATGTTTGCAGCCTCCCACTGAGGATTTGCAGCTTGCGCTCCAATTTATATCAGAGAGATGTGACTTCTGCCATTAACTTGAGTGCCAGCAGTGCCCTGGAGCTTCTCAGAGAGAAATCATCTAGAATTCCAAGAGCTAGACCAAAGCTGAATCCTCAGAAAGCTCTCAACAGATACATTCAGGAAGAGGAAGACATGAAGATGTCTGCCTTGGAATTTTTTGAAAGGGATAAACTCACATATAAGGAGAAACTCAACTTTACGGAGTCAACACATGTCGAGTTTAAAAGGTTCACCACCAAAAAGGTTGTACCTCGGGTTAAAGAGATGCTGCCTCATTATGTCTCCGCATTTGCCAACACTCAAGGGGGATACCTAATTTTCGGGGTCGATGATAAGAGCAAAGAAGTGTTTGGATGTAGGAAAGAAAAAGTGAACCCTGAGTTACTAAAAAAAGAAATAGAAAACTGCATAGAAAAATTGCCTACATTCCACTTCTGTTGTGAAAAGCCCAAGGTGAAGTTTACTACCAAAATCTTGAATGTATACCACAAAGATGTCCTGTTTGGTTATGTCTGTGTGGTTCAAGTAGAGCCTTTCTGTTGTATAGTATTTGCAGAGGCCCCAGATTCCTGGATCATGAGGGACAATTCTGTCACAAGGCTGACGGCTGAGGAATGGGTGGTCATGATGCTGGATATTCAGTCAGGTAAAGAGGGAAGTGAGTCACTGTCTAGGGAGGGAGGGAGGAGCTTCCTTCTCTGCCTTTTAAAATAGACCAATTAAAATAGAAATGTGCTTTTTTGCTTACAAAGGTTCTGTCATGATGGTGTCCTTTTTCTAACATATTTAGTTCCAAAGACTCAGAATCTGAACTCTTTGAGGTTAAGAAATACTTGGATTTCACTCCGTTTGGAGAAAGTTTTAGTATGCCATCAATCATGAATTAGTAAAAGTTTCCTTTTATGCACTATAAAGGCTTCTTTAAAAAGTTTTGCAGGCTGATTTTCCTACTCTAAGTGGAAAGTCTCAGCCCACAGATGATCTTTGGAGAAACACTCTTTAAGAATTATTTTGAAGGGCTGGGCTGTAGCTCAGTGGCAGAGTGCTTGCCTAGCATATGTGAGGGACTGGGTTCGATGCTTAGCACATAAAAATGAAACAAATAAAATAAAGACATGCTGTCCATCTACAACCACAAAAAATACAGGTTAGTCCCATTAATCCTTTAAAAAAAGGAATTACTTTGCACTAAGACTTTCAAGGGAAACATATTTTGACAAATATGAACTGTTTCAATACCCCTGGGAGCTAATACTTTAAACCACTGGATTTGTGGCACCACCAAATAGGGGAAAATGATAAGAAGTTCCTAGGACAGGGGGTGGCAGTGGGGGAGGAGAACCCCTAGTGTTATTACTTCCCTTAGAGTTTTGTTCCCTTACAGCCTTGGTGATTCCTAATCAATCCACAAAGGACTTATAGACTGAATTAAGCTTATTACCTGGGCTTCATCGTTGGTATGTTCCAAATTTGATAAGAGAAGCTTAGATCATCAGATCAAGACTCTAGTGATTATAGAATTTTATTTGATTATCCTTTTTCTGGTTCAGAATTTAAATTCGTTTGATTCACCTTCCTCCCCACCCACACAGGCACCAAATTAGAGACTTAAACAACAACTGTAAGAATAAAATCAACTTGTACTTAACCTTCACCGACCCCCTAATAGATACCCTTTCTTCTTAGAGATGACCTGGAATCCGATCATTAGAGTTGGAGGGACACATAGGGATCATCACCTCCCTCTGGCATGAGAGAAGTGAAATGACTTGTCTAAGATGAGCACACAGTGAGTTAGATTGTGCATGACCCCTGCAGCTGTCCCCAGACTTCATTCTTGACATGCATGCTGGTTGAGACATAGTTAGAGTGACAGCAGCTTAGGCACCATACATATCATATGTGCCCAATAGTAAGAGCAGTAAAAAAGTTCTTTTACTTCTGATCTTTATTTTTGTCTAAAACAACTTTCCATGTGATTGCTTAGCTCCTCCCAGTTTGGCTACTGACTACAGTGCTCACCTGATTTCATCAACTTCATCTGCCCTAAGAAGCCCAGCATATCCCATGAAAGTCATGGAATTTAAGGGAGCTCTGCAACAACGTTTGTTTCCAGGTATTCCCTCTTGATTTCAGCTGAGTAGATATTTATTTTGTAAAATTAAGATGGGCACTAAAGGTGAGCTCAGTGGTAGTGTGCTTGCCTAGCATGTGCAAGACCCTGGGTTCAATCTTCAGCACTGGAGTTGGGGGGAAGCTGGGAATAAATTAGTAGCAATTGGTCCAAGTCTTTCTTCCTAGGGAAAGCCAAATGTAAGATTAAACAGACATAATGGTCCTGAAATAGACATACATATATATGTCATATATATATATTCATACACATGCTTATGTGTATATATGGGATCACCGGAACTCCTTCTCAACCTCAGCACTATTGACATTTGGATCACATAATTCTTTATTGGGGGGAAAGAGGGTGCCTTGTGCATTATCAGATGTTTAACAGCATTCCTGGCCTCTACCCACTAGATGCCAGTAGCATCCTTTTAGTTGTAACAATTAAACACTCTCTAGACATTGTCGAATGTCTCCTAGGCAGGGGCAGAGTTGCCTCTGGTTAAGAATCACTATTCTGAAAGAAAGCTCTTAGTTTTCCAAAAGCATCAGGTTCATTAAAAGTCCTTAACAGGGGGACTGGGGATATAGCTCAGTTGGCAGAGTGCTTGCCTCGCATGTACAAGGTCCTGGGCAGGAAGGAGCTCCTTCCCAGCAGTTGTAGACCACCCAGGGTTGAAGGAAAGAGCTAGGAGGCTGTTCTGAAAAGATCCCTTCCTAAGAGCTTTCCCTTGTGCTAGAGCTGCCTTAGACTGTGAAGAGTCCTTGGACTGACTGCAGCCTTGGACTGTGAAAAGGGGATGTTCTCTTTGCAAGTAGGAAACCGATAGCCAAAGTCATCCTTTCCTACTATGTTGTGGGAATACTTAGTTATGCTTTTGTAAATGTTGGTAATTCACTCCTGTTCCTCGAATTTTCAGTGACACAAGAAGAAACGATACAACTTAAACCAGAATCCCTCTGTAAGAAGCTGTTCTCAGATCATAAAGAACTGGAAGAATTAATGAAGACACAGATGTGCCCTTGTTCTCAGGGAATTGTGATATTTTCTAGAAGCTGGGCTGATGATGTTGGCTTAAGCAAAGAGCAGAACGTCCTGTGCGATGCTCTCCTGATAGCAATTAACAGCCCCCTGGTACTCTACACAGTGTTAATAGAGCCAAATTGGATTGAAGGGTTTGAATATGCTCGAAACACTGCTCATCAGTTAAAGCAGAAACTGCAAAGTGTTAGTGGCTACACAGGGAAAATGTGCATCATTCCAAGGGTGATCCACCTGGCCAGCAGACAGTGTAGACCTGGTAAAGTCCTTGTACACTACCCCCAATCCTACAGGCTCTCCAATGTGGATGAAATGGAGAACTTGCTGCAGGCCCTTGTGGTCATCTCACTGTGCTCCAGGTCTCTTCTGAGTAACCAGCTGGGCTGTGAGTTTTTCAGCCTGCTTGTAGAGGAGCAGAGCAAGTTGCTTTCCAAGAGCCTTCAGGAAACTCGGGAATTGTTCATCCACTGCCTTCCAGGAACCAGGAAGACAGCCCTAGCCATGAAGATCATGGAGGAAGTGAAGAACTTGTTCCACTGCAAACCTAAAGAGATCCTCTATGTTTGTGAGAGTGTCACCCTAAGGGATTTTGTGATGTAAGAATTTTACCAACTAAACTTAAAAAATGTGTTTTCAGTTGAAGATTTTGTGATGCCTCTTTCCTGCAGAAGTTTGAGCCCAAACCAGTTACATATATCCAAATGATCAGGTAGTTGAGTTGTAAATGGGTAATTTGTAATGTTCAAGTTTAAACATATTATAAATAAGCCAAATAGGTAATAATTTAAATTTATAAAGCCATAGATCATGGATTAAAGCCACACTTGTGACTTTAAATCTATGACAAGTAGAAATTAATATATCTGGGGTTTTTTTTGATACTGGGGATTGAACCCAGGGGATTGAACCCAGGGGATTGAACTGGGGATTAACCACTGAGCCACATCCCCAGGCCATAAAAAAACCCCAAATTTAATAATTTTTACTTGTCATAGATATAAATATATATATATAGCCTCACTGAGTTGCTTAGTGCCTCGATAGGTTGCTGAGACTGGCTTTGAACTCTTGAATCTCCTGCCTCAGCCTCCTGAGCCCTGGGATTACAGGTGTGCGCCACCACACCTGGCTATTTTTTAAAAAATATACCTTTTGCTTGATAATATTTCAAAGTCATAAGATTACTCACTGTGCTTAGTAGGAACTCAAAATTTAAATATAATTTGACTTTTTAAATAACATCTTGCTCTACATCAATGATTTTAGAAAACATGAAAAATTAATTCTAATTTAAATCTCTAGTTTTCAATTCAATAATATATACTGGTTATTATACAATTCAGTCAATGAGGGCAAATTCATTTTGATTTTTGATTTGGTTTACTATATTCAAGAAATGCTTTTGAAAAAAAAAGAAATCTTTTTTGAGCACCATTTATATATTAAATGTATGAGTTTTTCAGCCTGCTTGTAAGGAGCAGTGTTAGAGGGGAAAGTATATCAAAGACTTTATTGTTAAAAAGAAACAACATAAGTGTTGTGTAATTAGTATAAGAAAGATATGCTTATTTTAACAAGTGGTAGGAATATCAGCAAATACTCTGGTGAAAGAGACTCTTGGGCACACTTTTTTTTTTTTTTTTGGAGGGGGCACACTCTTAATAAATCAGTAGGAGAAATAAAACTGGAGTGTTTTCCAAACAAAGAGCACAGCAAGTTCAAAGGCATGGAGACACAGAGATCCAGAGTGATAGGTCTGATAGGAGCAGTGTGGGACAAGGGGTATGTGGCAGGTGTTGGTGTGGGAAGGGAGGCAGATGCAAGATTATGAAGGATCCTGTGAACTCTGCTAAGGACTGTATTCATTATTATTTTTTAGTTGTCAATGGATCTTTTTATCTTATTTATTTATTTATATACAGCGCTGAAGATCAAACCCAGGGCCTTACACATGTCAGGCAAGCGCTCTACCACTGAGCCACAACTCCAGGACTATATTCATTATTAAGCTTTATGGCTTAGTTTTAAAAAGATCCCTGTCAAGGGCTGGGGCTGTAGCTCAGTGGTAAAATGCTTGCCTCGAATGTGTGAGGCACTGGGTTTGGTCCTCAGAACCACATAAAAATAAATAAAGATACTGTGTGTTCGTGTACAACTAAATATATATATATATAAAGATCCCTGTCAAAAGGCTAATTCAGGGCTAGGGTTGTGGCCCAGTGGTAGAGTGCTCACCTGACATGTGTGATACACTGGATTCAATCCTCAGCACCACATAAAAACAAATACAATAAAGGTTATGTGTCAATCTACAACAACAAAAAATTTTAAATGGCTAATTCAACAAATTAGGGGGATGGGGGTGATGGGATACAGAGATAGCTAAGAATCACTTCTTCAAGCGCTCACAACAGTCTAAACTGGAAGAGAAGAACAGTTATGGATCAAGGCATAGAGAAAAAAGGCTCAGGAACTGCATTAAACAAAATTAGGGAATCTGTAGGAGTGTGTACTGTTACTTACATTAAATTAGAGAAGGTAAGAAATAACCAAATTTGTTAAGGGGGAAGTTATATGTATATATGATTATATATATACACACCCAAACATATTTATAATTATATAAGTATGCACATACATATACATATGCTACAACATAAAGAGACATTGAGCTGAGAGAAAAAGCCTCCCAAACCTAAAGAAGTTTCCAGTTTTGTTCTATGAGTAAGTGAAGAAATAGAATTTGCTTTAGAGGAATTTGATTAGTGTGTAACTTTTGTGCTTATAAAGATTATGATATGCCTCTAGAAGACTATGCTCCAGCCCTAAAAAAGACAGAAAGCAAAGAAATGGTAGTAACAGGTACAAATTACTGTGGGAATTTCCTTTAGCTGAATGGATCTCATCTTCAAAAGATGGTCAAGTGGAGCTGGGGTTGTGGTTCAAGTGGTAGAGTGCTCGCTTAGCACCTCTGAGGCACTGGGTTCGAACCTCAGTACCACATAAAAATAAAATAAAGATATTGTATCCACCTAAAACTAAAAAAATAAATATTAAAAAAAGATGGTCAAGAAGTAGAAATGGACCGCTAATAGAAACAATAAAATCTACCTATTTTATAATAATGAAAATTTGACGTGCATATTTAACTAGATGACCCCAAAGAGGAGTGTGTAAAATTCTGCATTCTATGTATCAGGTAGCTTGTAAGTTAAGCAGTTTTGCACTACTCACAACACTATTGAATTGACGAATCTGTCTGCAGAGAATTAGCCTGATTTCAATCCACAGAGTAATGAATGCTAGTGTTCCCTTGGTTTATATGTCTGAAACCCTCTTCTCTTTTTCATCCTTACAGTCAAAAAACCACCTGCCATGCTGTGACCCAGAAAACCTTCATGCAAAAGGAGTTCCCAAAGATTAAACACATAGTAATGGATGAGACTGAGAATTTCTGCAGTAAATATGGTGATTGGTACTTGAAGGCTAGAAGTATCACCCACCCTAAGGTGAAGGGGGTTGGAAGTGAAGACCTTCACCATGGGATCCTCTGGATTTTTCTGGACCCTTTCCAAGTCCATCATGCAGATGACAATGGCCTTCCCCCTCCTTCTGCTCAGTTTCCTCGAAAAACAATCACCGACGGGATCCACTGTGCTCTGGAAATAGCAAATGTCATGAAAGAAGAAATGAAGATGATCAAAGCAAACCCTCCCTCCAGCATGTCTCTGGACACATTGGCATTATTCCAAGAAGCATCCTATGAGGAAGCAATGTTTGCCCAGGCTCTACCTGGGGTGTTTGAAACCAAGACTAACCTAACCATAGAACAAATAGCAAACTATGTGGTAGAAAGATGTCACAGCCTCTTCCAATGTGGCTATAGGCCCAAAGATGTAGCAATTCTGTGCAAGAGAGTAGAGGACACAGGACGCTATAAGCTTGCACTTCTTACAGCATTTAAGGACCATGGAGCAACAGAAGTTCTGTTTAGCCGTGCCATTGGTGTTGGGGGCAATCATATTGTTTTAGACAGTATTCAGCAGTTTTCAGGACTGGAGAGAAATATCGTGTTCGGGATTAGTTCAGAATGTTCCCAGTCTGAGAAATTTCATAAGCTCTGCTTTGCCTCAAGAGCCATTAAACACCTCTACCTCCTTTATGAAAAGAGGGCAGCCTTCTGAAAATTATTATAAATAACACAGGGAGCCAGAAAAAGCAGAGCTTTCCTCCTTGACAGATGGCAGCTTTTCTTTTATAATATTATATGTAAAGAAACCAAGGCACCTCAGTATGGCCTGGAGCCACAGAAATGTCTCTTGGGGCTGAGCCTTGCTTGCAGTGGCACTGCTTTTTTCCGGGTCCACCTCTCCTCCCTGTACAATTACAGCAGACTTAGGATTGATCCCCTGTCTCCAGTCTTCCTAACTCAATCCAGCTTTTGTTCTGTCATGCAAGCAGTTTATCCTCAGAGAACTGCTTTTATGACATCCTCTGCTAGCACTTACCTCCTGTAAGTCCCCACAGCCTTCAAACCAAGCCAGTTCTCCAGGCTTCCCATGTTGTGCCCTGAGTGACTCTCCTAACCACACCCTTAACTACACCTCCAGTGTCCTAATGTACCCCAACACCTAATGCACCTCACTGGCCTATTTTGTTAGGGTGGTAGGGTGTCTTCTAGACCCATTACTTTGACTGGGTCTCAAGGGTGGCACCTGGGCTAGCATCTCATATGGTTATAGGTCTCAAGTTTTACAGGTTCAGAACTTGATTTCCTCTTTGCACCAAGTCTAGATCAGTCTCTAGGGGATGGCTTTATGCTAACCAAGACCAATGCATGAATCAAAATGCCACTTTGTTAATTCACATTGAGGATTGCTATAACAAATTGGGTCAAAGGCTTTTGCTAATCTGCGCATTCAACAATAGCGTAGGAAGCCAAATTATAAGAGCAGAACCCTACAATAAGGGGAGTTGGTAATCTGGCTCAAATGTAAGGAGTACTCAGGCTACATCAGATTATTGAAATATCTATTGTTATATTGCAATCATTTCTAAAATAGAGATGTTTTCAGTACAAGGACTATGCAGGTCAGGTTTATAAGCTAACTCAAATTTAGAATGCCAAGGACCATTAGTTGTTCAATACTGTCTGCCTAGGTGAAATTTTTTCCCCTTAATTTCTAAAGATTCTGGGTTGACCTCCAGTCTTTCCCTCATTTACCGCAACATATACACACTTTGCTTACATTCATTTCTACACGTGTCAATACACTAATGTATGCTACACAGCCTCACACTGCTGCTGACCTGAAACTTGTCTATGAGAGGCCTTTGCACCTCTCTGATCCTTTTCATGATGATTTGGGTGTTGATTTTATAGTCCAACCCTCAGAGCTCTTTTATAGGGATCCTGGGTGGCAACTCTATCACCTATACCACTCACACACATTCCTAGCTCTTGGTCTGTCCCTGACAGTTTTTTTTCAGTCTTTAACCTTTTTTCTCCCTTCCACTTTTGAAATCCTTACTCTTCAGTCAAGTGCTTCAAATGCCCATCTCCTCCATGAAACTTTTTCCACCCCCCTGATGGTGAAGTGGCTTTTGTGGCCATTCTATTGCTTTAAAAAGAATATATTGAAGATAGCATCCAATTCATTCCAGACTATTCACAGAAGTTGTTGTTATCCTAGCAGAATCTATGTAAATCTTCCTGGCATATCCCTTTTCCAATGTATGGGAAATATATTAGAAATAAAATCAGTTCCCTTTCTTTAGTCAGCTCCCTAAATGGATGAGCCAATCTTGTGCCCTTCAATAAAATCTTGTCTTTGTAAGGTTTTTTTTTTTTTTTTTGGGGGGGGGGATATTGGGTTTTGAACCAGGAGTGTTTTGCCACTAAGTTACATCCCTATTCCTCTTTGAGACAAGGTCTTGCTAAGTTGCTAAAGTTGACCTCGAATTTGAAATCCTCTTGCCTCATCCTCCTGAGTCTTGGGATAACAGGCATGCACAACAGCACCCTGCTTTGATTTTGTTTTTTTAATATTTACTTTTTAGTTGTAGGTGGACACACAATATCTTTATTTCATCTTTATGTAGTGCTGAGGATCGAACCCAGTGCCTCATGTGTGTGTGTGCTAGGCCAGCGCTCTATCACTGAGCCCCAGCCCCAGCCCTGTTTTTTTTTTTTTAAAGACAAAGCCTTGAACTTTCAGGGTTCAAATGATCCCCTTATCTCAGCCTCCTAAATAGCTGGGACTACAGGCAAGAGCCACTGTACTCATTGTGTAATTTTATAATATGGGTTTTTAAATTGCTTTGGAAGTATTCCTATTTTCAGACTGTTTTTAACTTTTAGAAAAGTTTGGGAAACTTGATAGATACTGAGGAGGCTTCAATCCAGGAAAAAAAAAATGTGGAAATACTCTTGGATATAATTTCAGATACAGGTCCTCAGCCTCCCAGAGGTGGGAAGAGCAGACGGGGTTTGGAGAAACTCTCTTAGCTGACATTTTGAACTGTTCCGGCCCACCAAGGGACCAGTTGTAACTGTCCGGCTGTCCTGGACAAGGATTGAATGGAAAAACTTCTCCCCTGCCTCCTATTGTTTCAAGTATGGGATGTTTCTTGTTTTTTTTTTTTTTTTTTCCTATTATACTGCCTTAATATGATGGATAAAACAACAAAATTATTCAGATAAAAGAGTTTCTAGCTGTGAGAAGCTTCAAAAACTTCCTTTTAAAAAGGAGGGTAGGGGCTGGGACTGTAGCTCAGTGGTAGAGCACTTGCCTAGCATGTGTGAGGCACTGAGTTCAATCCTCAGCACCATATAAAAATAAAAGTAAATAAAATAAAGGTATAAAAAAGGAGGGTAATATAATATTGTCATGTAAGTTTGAGAAATGGAGAAAAAAAATAAAAGGTACTTAAATCGTATCAATTTCCAGGCATGATTTTTTTCAGTTTGCTTATTTATTTCCATTCTTTATTGATATAAAAACACTTTTACAGAGTTATGATCAAATTTTGTAATCAGCTTTATATCCTATCTATGTGCTTTTTTGTATTTAACATTTTGTGAAGCATTGCTTCAGATTGTATTATTGTTCCAAATAATTCACCCCTCCCTATGTCTTGACCCTTTGCAGTTTCTAACATTAGAGCTGGGGATATTTTCTTATGTGGACTTGGCCATGTTACTTGATGTGGCCAATGAAATATTAGTATCTGTGATGTGGACACATGTCATATATGTTTTTAGCATTGAATTTGTTCTCTTGGGTTTCTGTCATATGAAACACATGGCCCTGGATGGCCCATTGGTCACCAAGGAATAAGAGACATATGAAGCCAACTTCAACTCAACTCATGGCCTGAGCCAAGTTCAAACAATCCTAACTAAATCAGACAAATCCCAACTGACCTGAAAATGCATGAATGAGAAATAAACATTTGTTATGGTTTGGTGTGGGGTGTCCCCCAAAAGCTCACATGTGAGACAATTTAAGAAAGTTCAGAGAAGAAATGATCAGGTTGTGACAGCCTTAATCCAATCAGTGAATTAAACCTTTTTTTTGGGATTAGCTGAGTGACATATAGAGGAAGTGGGGCATTGTGGGTGTGACTATGAGGTATATATTTGTATCTAACAAGTGAAGATCTCTCTCTCTCTCTGCTTTCTGATCACCCTGTGAGCTGCTTCCCTCTGCCACCCTCTTCCTCCGTGATGTTCAGCCTCATCTTAAGCCCTGAGGAATGGAGCCAGCCTTCTGTGGACTAAGATCTCTGAAACTGTGAGCTCTCAAATAAACTTTTCCTCCTCTATATTTGTTCTGGTTAGGTCTTTTAGTCCCAGCAGCAAAAAGGCTGACTAAAACAATCTTTATTATTTTATGACTGGCTGTTTGTTTAGTAACAGTGGCTAACTAATGTAGGCATTTCTCCATGTTCTAGGATAGTCTTCAAAATTATAATTTTTAGTAGTTGTACAACATCCTAGCCAAATAATGAAATTTCAATAGACACTTCCTTTTTATTTGTGCCAATAGCAACTTTATGCTACTAAAATTAAGCCAGGCATATAGGCATACAATGTTTTCCTTTTCTAGTATATTTATAAATTCCCCAAAATGGAATTTCTTGAGCAAAAGGGTGGTCTGAATAAATCACGTTATTTATGTTGATACTGATGGAAAGTGCATAAAAAACCCAATTGCTGTATAGTTTTATTTATTTGCCTGAAATAATAGAACAAAATGCTGACATCAGTTTCTGATCACAAAAGATAGATATTCATATCTCAGAAAAAGGTGACCGCAAGGGACCATGGAGAGTAAAACCAAGGTTCATCACCTTGCACCAAGACCTTGGAGGGAAAGCATAATGTGGAGAATTATGGATGGGATTATAGGCTTGTACCATGGCACCTGGCTATATTTTCCCTTATTATTGTTTACTATTTCAGAATTATCTTGGCCTTTTGCATTTAAAGTTCCTGTTTTAATTCAGGAAAGGCTGTCTACTTTGCCCAGTTGTATATCTTGGAAGAGGCAGGTGATGAGAGAAGGAGGACTGAGGACAGTGAAGAAAGCGCAGGCCCCTTTCCTAGCCAGGCAGACATGACAAACCCCACAAGTCATTGTTAATACCTAAGAATGTCTTTACACCTACATTCCTGTCTTCTCTGACATATATGTCTATGGCTCACCTGTATTAAATGTTTACTGTGTGGCAAACACTGTGAAAATTGTTTTAAATAAATCATTTAACCTCCCGGCCACCTTTTGAATTATGTATAGCAGGACTTAATTATGTAAGGCAAGATAAGGTACTGTTTTTTCCCTACATTTTTTTAGTTGGTGCATTATAGTTGTACATATTGATGAGATTGGTTGTTACATATTTGTATGTGCACACAATAAAACAACATAATTTGGCCAATATAACTCCCCAGCACTTCCCCCCTCACTTCCCATTGCCCATCTCTTCCTCTACTGATCTCCCTTTGATTTTTAGGGGATCCATCCCCACCTCTATTTTCTTTTTTCCTCTCAAGCATCTGCATATGAGAGAAAATATATGACTCTTAACTTTCTTTTTTGGGGGGAGAGGGGTACTGAGGATTGAACTCAGAGGCACTCAACCACTGAGCCACATTTTCAGCCCTATTTTATCTTAGAGACAGGGTCTCACTGAGTTGCTCAGCGCCTCACTCTTGCTGAGGCTGGCTTTGAACTTGTGATCCTTCTGCTTTAGCCTCCCAAGCTGCTGGGATTACAGGCTTGCGTCATGGCACCTGGCCAACCCTTAATTTCCAAGTTTGATTTACCATGATGGTCTCAAGTTCCATTCATTTTCCTTTGAATGCCATAATTTCATTTTTTCTTTATGGCTGAATAAAACTCCATTGTACATGTAGACCACATTTTCTAGGATTAAGTATTGTTAAAACCTTGAGTCCTAGGGTCAGATTGACCCTGGCTTTGAATTCCAGCTCTATTTTTTTAAATACTTTTTTAGTTGTAGATGGACATTTATTTTTATTTTACTTTTATGTGGTGCTGAGGATGGAACCCAGTATTCACCTGGTGCTAGGCAAATGCTCTACCACCGAGCGACAATCCCAGCCCTCCAACTCTTTTCTTACTTGGCTGTATGACCTTCGCAAATTGCTTTACTTCTGTAAGACTCCATTTTCTCATTTGTAAAAGAAAGGGAAAAGTTCATACCTATGCCTGAAGAAAAAGATGAAGATTGAAATAAATACTACATTTAAATAAAGCCTGTTTTTGGGAAATTCAAGACAATTTGGCCCTTATAAGCTCTGATTTGTAGGTGAGAAATCTGGACTTAAAAGGTGAATACCTTACTCAAGATCACAGAACTAGTAAGTTCTGAACGAGGATTCAAATCCTTTTGTTTGCCTCCATAGTTCATATACGCCACTGGCTTTTCTACCTCTCTACATAAAAATGAAAGGCATAAGTGTCCATATTGATAGTATTTTATGTTGATACTAGGATTGAATATACTTATATATTTTTGGTATTCACCAACTTGGTTGTATTTAGCTTCTAAAATTTTTGTCCCAAATCAATATAATTGTGCAAATGAATGACATAACAGGAAATATTTAAAGAAAAGCATTGTCTACACTAAGAAATTTAAAAATATATAACTTTCATTACAGAATCTATGTAGTGACAGGAAGATTAAAAAAAAAAAAGAGAACCACAAAAGAAAACTCATCCCAATTCTTACCAGACATGCAGTTATACTTTCATTTTTGCTTGTTTATATCCAATATTAATCCGTTGGCAGATATATTTTTGCAGAGTTGTAATCATAGTGTACATTCCATTTTGTATCCTGATTGGGTTGGTCTCTTCCCACTCCACAGTCTCCCATGTTGTAGGTGAGGCGTTTTCCACATAGCAGCCCAGGGCAAGTTGATACTTGGTGCAGTAGGGCCCCTTAGGTTCCAGCTCATTCCCTGATGCAGCCTAAACTCATACCAACAGAAAGGAAGAGGGTGATGGGTGGGCAAATGGTGAAAAGTTCTTCACAAACTCCATAAAACATAGGGCAATATAGGGTACAAACATTTCAGGGGACTCAGCAACAGAGTGACATAATTAGGACAAAACCATTCTTTTCCTCTCATTTCCCCACTGTCAGATGCTGGCATGGATAGTTGTGCCCTCCTTGAGGAGTGGTGGTTGCCATGCCAGGGACAGAACTCAATAAGTCTATAAAACACATCTCCACTTGCCCAAAGGTTATAAACAGTAGCAGATTTTTTTTTTTTTTTTTTTTTGTGGTGTTGAGGCTTGAACCCAGGGCCTTGTGCATGCAAGGCAAGCACTCTACCAACTGAGCTAAGCTATATCCCCAGCCCAAAGTGGCAGATTTTCAGCCATCCCAAATGCATTTTGAAGTAGGTGTGGTGGCACAGGCATGTATATAATCCCAACCACTCAGGAAGCTGAGACAGGAGGATGGCAAGTTTGAGGCCAGCCTGCACAACTTAGTGTGACCCTGTCTCAAATAAAAAATAAAAATAAAAGGAGTGAGAGTGTAACTCAGGGGTAGAGCACATATGTGAAGCTTTGGGTTTGATTCTCAGTATCACAAAAAGAAAAACGATCTGTGTGACTTTTCTCTTGTTAATCTGTCACATGTCAATTATCAGGCCCAGCTAAAAATCCTAAGAAAGTAGAACTTGCCTTCTCTACAGTTTCTGCCAATGTCAATGAGATCCTAAAATGTTGGGCTGCTCCATTTGCTCTGGAACCTGTGGAAGGGATCCTGAAAGAGCCAACAAGAAACAGCAGAATTCTTTCCAAAGTCAGTTCTCACAGATCTCTCTCCGTAATGCTCAGTAAAGAGAGGAAGGTAGAAAATTTCCCCCCTTGTCCTCTCCTTTCCAAATGCAGATTGACAGGAAAAAAACATTTGTAAAATTTTGTTCTCTGAATTGTGACTCTAGTGAATTAGTTTCTGGGTGTGATCAATAGCCTCCCAGGAATAGTTCTCTTTTTATCTTCATCTCTGTCTTTTTTATTACGTCATAAAGAGAAAAATTATGAGAGTATTCTTTTGTCTTGTTTTATGTTCCAAGAGCCTGACCTTGTGACGAATGAAAACATTTTCTCTGGTCTCTCCCAGCCAGAAGGTGCAAATGCTGGCTTTTATCAGGTGACTCTCCAAACAGGCTGTGAACAAAACATGTGACAAGCAGCACCCTCTTTATCTGACTGTGCCAGTTCTCAGGGGAGTTTGTCTCAATAGGAAGCACAAGTTCAGAAGAGACTTTGTTGTTTCAGATGCCATTATCTTGATAGTGCTGGGAAACCCTTATCCTAGCATTGCCCACCTGGTGCCACAGGTTATTGGGTCTGTGACCAGAGGCCTCTCACATTCCCATGGCCCACTGAAGAATTTGTTTTTGCAAACACTGTTCTTGCTTTCTGTGACAACAGTCTTTGATTTCTTTGGCTTATTCTGGGAATGAACTTTCTGGGAAGGTTACATTTTTTTGCAACCTCTTTAGCGACAACTTTTGCATCCATGAATAAGCCATCAAAGGTTTACTTCTTTTAAGCCATAAAAAGGTATGAGTCACAATTAAGATTGGTATACCACAATAGTGCATGACTGCAATCTCAGTGACCTGAAGGCTGAGGCAGGAGGATCCCAAGTTCCAGGCCAGCCTCAGCCAATTACTGAGGCCCTAAGCAACTTAGTGAGACCCTGTCTCAAAATGAAAAATAAAAGGGCCTGTGGATGTAGCTTAGTAATAGAGCACTCCTGGGTTCAATGCAACCCCCCTCCCCGCAAAAAATTGGTATGACTTTGAAGATTTGGACTTGGAAGGATATTTTAGAGAGCTGTCATCCTATATAGATGTCTTAATATCACTGATGGGAAGATTACATTGAAAGGAAATATTAAGGCAAAGATGAGAATCAATTCCTAAATTATAAGTTTTTCAATAATAACTAACTTATGGTTAAGATTTCAAATGAAAACTCTTAAGATGCCTGTTTGCTTCTGTTTGTATATTTATCCCTATGTAAGTGTGTTATGTAGCTGTAATATTATTCTGCCTCTGAATAATATTGCACCAATATATAATAGTCAGTGTGCCTGGGGAGAAACTCCATTTAGAATCTGAATTTTTGAAAATTCTGTCAAAAGGATCTGACAAGCAGCCAAGACTGGGAATAAATGATCTGGTTTGTGGCATCTTTAATTCAAATCCCTCTACTGCACAACACCTTTTCTCCTCGCTAAAAATGATTGTTAAATCCATGCTGTGACAATTCTTGCAGTCTCTAAGGGCACCCAAAGGAAACTGAACAAAAGCTCAAGGGAACAGTGACTTGTGTGAGCTATGGAGTGGGAGCAGCCAATCAGAATGACACCTACACTATCAGCTGCGAGGTCAATAACAGGGGATCCAGCAGGAATTTCTTCTTTTCCTTCTTTTTTTCCCCTTCAGTACTGGGGGTCCAAACCAGGGCTTTGATCATGCTAGACTTTACCACTGAGCTACACTACCAGCCCAACCAATAGGAATTTCTTTTCTTTTCTGGTACAGGAGATTGAACCCAGGGACACTCTACCAGAGTCACATCCCCAGCAATCCCACCCCCACCCTTTTAAATATTTTATGACTGTTGATGGACATTTATTTATTTAATGTGGTGCTGAGGATTGAACCCAGTGCCTCACACATGCTAGGCAAGTGCTCTGCCACAGAGCACCCCCTAGCTCTCCCCAGCCTTTTTAATTTTTCATTTTGAGATATGGCTCTCTAATTTGTTGATACTGGCCTCAAACTTGTGAGCCTCCCAGCTCAGTTGGTAGAGTGCTTGCCTTGCATGCACAATTGTGGCCCTGGGTTCAATCCCTAACACCGCAAAAAAAAAAAAAAAAAAAAAAAAATTAAAAAAAAAATATATATATATCACACATACTCACAAAAACTTGTGATCCTCAGCCTCCTGAGTGCCTGACATTACAGGCAAACCTCACTGTGTCCCACCCATCAGGAGGAATTTCAACTGGGTGCCAACTAGAACTCCCAGGATTATAGAAGCTACTAGAAAAATTAAGTGAGGAAGTCAATAAAATGCACTGCTTAATTCTCTGACCCTAGTATTTCTTATTTTCTTGCTTATTTTTTTCTTTCTTTTCCTTACGGACAAAAGCTTATTGTACAAAGTAAAATCCCCCTTCCTTTCCATATTCTTTCTCCACTCTTCCCCTCCCTGGAGGATAACAGTTGAGTGTGTATTCCAAAATATTTTTTTTCCAGACGTTGTTCTCCCAGGGTTTAATGTGTTTCTTCTGCTAGGCAGTTCCTTTAGCCTCAAGCCAAATAACTAGAGTTCACTCGGGTAAAGAGCATTCCCTCCCTCCTCCCAAAGATGAGCACCAAGAGGGCGGGATCATGTTTAGAGTTTTCTGAGAAATCGAAACTTTAAAAACGCGGGAAAATTCTAGTTTCGTGGTCCAGGAGGCTGAAACTTGGCATTCTTCCCGGGCTTGCTTTCTTTTCTTCCTGGAGCTTGAAAACTATTTCCTCTCTCTGAAGGTTACCACCGCCCTCAGTCCAGCGGCACCTTCAGTCCAGCGGCGCCCTCAGTCCAGCTGCGCCCTCGTGAATACATCATGAAGCCTGAAGCTTGCTTCTCCTTTCGGCGTTCCAACGTTGGGGAATCTTCATTCCCAAGGTAAGTACAGATTGTCTGGAAAGAACCACGCCACGCTTATTCAACCGAAAGAACGGTCTTAGAAAGAGATCCCAGGGGCTGGGCTTGCGGCTCAGCGGTGGAGCACGAGCACGAGCACTCGCCTGCCATATGCCAGGCGCTGGGTTCGATCCTCAGCACCACGTTTAAAAATGAATAAGTAAAGTAGTGGTGTTGTGTACAACTAAAAAGAAATATTTTTTTAAAAAGAGTTCACAGAACTCTAAAATGAAAATCCACTGTGTGCCGGGCACGGTGATACGCTGCTGTAATCCTAGCGATTCAAGAGGCTGCGATTCAAGACTCAGGAGGTTGAGGGAAGAGGATGCAAGTTTGAGGCCGGTCTCGGCAATGAGCGATACCCTGTATCAAAATTAAAAAATAAGATCCTGACTGGAGGTGGAGCTCAGTGGTAAAGCGCGCCTGGATTCCATTCCCAGTCCTGGAGGGGAAAAAAAAAAATCACACTGTGGCCAGAGTAGCTTGCAAGAGAGGAGGAGGGGAGTACAGGGGGTCCGTCCGTGCTTTAAAAAAAAAAAAAAAAAATTATATAATTTAGTTGCAGTTGGACAAAATACCTTTATTTTGTTTATTTTTATGTGGTGCTCAGAATCGAACCCAGGGCCTCGCATGTGCTTGGCCAGCGGTCTATCACTAAGCCACAACCCCAGTCCCATGCTTTTCTTAACTGCACCGAATACACAGTGAGAACTGGTCGTTAGAATAGGACTTACTTTTTAGCTGAGGCCAGGGATACAGGAGGCAGGCTTCCAGTCCCAAGCAAGCTGGCTGAGGTCTGAGACCCCGGAAGATATAAAGGTGCTTTTGGCGGGAAGGGAAGCCTGTGAAGAAGTTACCTAAGTGAGGGAGGTTCAAGATGGCAGATTAGAGCACGTCTGCATTCCTAGTTTTCTTTTGAGCTTCAGGGGGGTGGGGGTGGGGGCGGGATCATGCTAATTTCACTTTCTGAGAAATCTAAACTTTAAAAAACCGCGCCAGAAAATTCTAGTTTTCATGATCTAGGAAGCTGAAACTTGGCATTCAGGCAGCTGGAGTACTGCTGCTTTGTGAGATCTGGCTTTATGGAGGTAGGATCTCTGCACTTTCACAGAGAAAGCCACTCGGTTTAATGCTCCACTATCATTGTCCTAAAATGACAGCATTGGGGCTGGGGATGTGGCTCAAGCAGTAGCACACTTGCCTGGCATGTGTGCGGCCCCGGTTCAATCCTCAGCACCACATACAAAGATGTTGTGTCTGCCAAAAACTAAAAAAATAAATAAAAAATTAAAAAAATAAAATAAAATGACATCATAATTTTTGAATTTTCATTTTTTTTATTGAACTTCAAAATTATGTACCAAACCCTGCTCCTTAATAATATTTAGGTGTGACATATAATGCTTCTTTCAGTGAACATTACTAGTGTTAAAACATTGTTTTGGTATGTTATTTATTTTTAACAACTTCTAGACATATGTAAAGGAATACAGATGCAGGCATGTCTTCAAAAAGAAAAAAGAAAAGAAAAGAGAGAGAGGGAGAGAGAGAGAGAGAAGGCACACTTACCCAATTGGTTGATCTCTATGAAAAGCTGAGCCACAACCCCAGCCCATATGTTACCCCTTTTTAAATAAACTCTACTGTATATGCTTGCCTCAGCGAGCTTCCCTAATGTTATACTTCAACATGTGAGGGGGCAGGACTCTTCATCAGTAACCAGCAGTAACACACACTGCAAGGAGGAGACCCACATCCTCAGACCCGGCCCCCAAGTCCCATGCCATCCTAAAACCTCACATGTGAAGAAGCAAGCCTGGTTGATCAGGCCTGGAATCAGGAGTGGACTGCCTCCTCTACTCATTTCTTTCCCCCACATTTTAACACTTTGTTTATAGTCTTCTGTATTTTCTTGTGCACACAGACTGAAGTAGTTCTAAAAAAAAAAAAAAAATCTGATATTAACATATTGATGTTGTTAAAATAAATATGCCAATTAATGTTTAGAGAATATCCAGAATATAAGTGTCTGTTTAGGAAAATAAATGTTATAGGTAATTGTTTTCCTATCGCAGAGCAGCAAACATCTCTCAATTATCCATCTGATTGTTATTCATAATTACATATTCATTTGTGTCCCATCTCCATAAAGATTTCTGGATATAACTCATTAAAATTGAGCAAATTCACTAATTGGTGCTTTCACAAGTATGTGCTTTAATTAGTGTTGGTAAAATAACCAAATGTCTTTTCACATACTTGCAAAAAATAACTTCAAAAATCCAAATGGATCACAGCTTCCCAGTCAATATAGCTCAGGTTTCTCCTGAAAAACAAAAAACAAACAACAAACAAACAAACAAAAACCCCATATATTCTGAAAATCTGGAGAACCTTTTCATAAAGATCAACCAATTTCTCTCTATAAGGTTGCACAACTTTATACAGCTACAAATGATGAAGATTCCCAGTTTTTCTACATCTTGGTAAATGCTTAGTTTTGCTAGGCTTATAGATACTTGCTAGTCCAAGGAAACAAAATGGTATCTTTGTCTTTCTATACAGTTCTTTGACTACTCTGAGGCCAAGCCATCTCATATTCTTATAGGCCAGTTGCGGCTCCTGTTCTGTGAATACCTTTTCATTTCTTTCTTTTCTTTTTGTATCTGGGGTTGAATCCAGGAGCATTTTAGCCACTGAGCCATATCCTAGCTCTTTTTATTTTTTTATTTTGCAACAGAGTCTCACAGAGTTCCTTGGGCCTCACTAAATTGCTGAGGCTGTCCTTGAACTCAGGATTCTCCTGTCTCTGCCTCCAAGGTTGTTGAAATTACAGGCTCCCACGCCACCATGTCCAGCTCTTTTCTTTCTATCTTTCTTTTTAATTTATTTTTATTAATTTTTATTCTATAGGTTAGTAATTTCAAGAATGTTATATAAATAGAATAATACAGCATGTGACCTTTTGAGATTGACTCTTTTCACTCAGGGTGTCTTTAAAATCCATCCAGTTGTTTTGTGAATCAAGAGTCTGTTCCTTTTTATTTCTGAGTAATATTCTGTGATATAGATAGACCACAGTTTATTTAACCATTCACCTGTTGTAAATCTTTCATAATTTTACAATCCATTTTGAGTTAATTTTTGTTTAAGACGTGAGGGTTAGTTTTAATCTTTGTTTGTTTTGTAGTACTGGGGATTGAATCCAGGGCCTCATGCATGGTAGTCAAGCCCTGAGCTATATCCCTACTACTTTTTATTTTATTTTGAGACAGTCTTGCTAAGTTGCCCAAGCTGATCTTGAACTTGTGATCCTCCTTTCTCAACCTCCAAGTATCTGGTATTAGTCTTGTGCTATTGCACCAGGTTTTGGTTTGATTTTTTTCCTGTGTACATCTAAATTGCTCTAGCACCATTTTTGAAAAGACCATTCATCCTCTATTAAATTATTTTTATGCTTTTGTCAAAAATCAGTTAGCTATCTTGTGTTGGACTATTTCTGGGTTCTCTGTTCTGTCCCATTAATCTATGTGTACTGCTTGCCAGTATCACACTCTATATATACTGAAGCTATATAGTAAATCTTTTTTTTTTTTTTTTTTTTGACACTGGGTATTGAACCCAAGCTTGCTTAATCATTGAGCAACATTTCCAGCCCCTCCCTCCTTTTATTTTATTTAGAGACAGGGTCTCCCTGAGTTGTTTAGGGTGACTTTGAACTCTTGATCCTCCTGCCTCAGCCTTCTGTTCTGAGCCACCGGGATTACAGGCTTGTGCCACTGGCTATATAGTAAATCTTAATATGAGATAGAGTGATTCCTTATACTTTATTCTTTTTTTAAGGAAAAAGTTCTAGAATCATTCTTCTGTGTACTATTCCTTCAAAAAAATTTTTTTTAGTTGTAGATGGACACAATACCTTAACATCTTTTCTTTCTTTCTTCCTTTCTTCCTTTCTTTCGATTCTGAGGATCAAACCCAGTGCCTCACATAGTGCTCTACCACTGAGCTACAATATCAACACCACTCTATTCTCCTTTTTAGAAATATCATGTTAGCTATTGTGTTAGTTTCCATAAAAAAATTTTGTCTATATGTAAAAAGAAGTCTTTCAGGGATTCTGATAAAAATTGTGTGAAGTCTACATGTCAATTTGAGGGACAATTGACAGCTTTACCATGTGGTTCCATTGAAGCAGGCCAGAGACCACTCCCCACCCAGAAGACCCTTACCATAATTAAGCAGAAACCCTCACTATATTTGTAACATGGAAGTTCCCCTTCTTCAAAAAGCTTTCTATCAGCAAAACTTCTGCAGAAGGGCGTTGTAGTTGGTAGTTTCCTCTTTTTTTTAATTTTTTTTTTTTTAATGAATGTCAGGTTTGAGGGAAAAAAAAGAAAAACTTTTGAAACCTCTGTTTAGAGGATGGAATGAAACATGATTGTCATATGAACCTGCTAGCTGCCCTCCACCAAACTGGGTATAACGTTCAAAGAATTTCTATACTCATTGTTCAGAGGAAGAATTCTTAGGCAAGAGCCACCTCTGAATCCTGTAGTCAATAATCCTGCCTCCTGCAAATTCCTCAAGGTGTACAGCCTCTTCTGTCCTACTTTAACATCTTAAGCTCCCTTGATGATCTAAACTATCGCACATAGTAGTTGCTTATTTACTTTCTACCTCCCCTAAACAGCAAGCTCTCAATAGCAAGGACCACATTTGCTTTGTTCACCACTGTTTTCTCTGGATTTAGCACAGTGCCAGGTAAATGATAGATGTCCAATTAATATTTGTTGAGTAAATGATTTATGATTATAATTTATGATTAATAATAATTTCACAGTTGAGAAATGACCAATTGACATGCCTATGCTTGGCAAAATGTAATGTGGCCTTTAAAATATATAATTATAAATGTGACAACATTTCTCCAAAATTTGGAGAAATGATAGATAAAACAATGCAAAATTCTGTTCATTTGATGACTGTAATTCATAAAAATGTAATATTATTAAAGACCACAGAGGAAAGGGAAATACAAGTAAAAGGATTATTGTCATAATATTTGTGAAAATTTTAAAGCCCAGGATAAGACTGAATTTTGTAGTATGCCATATTTTTATGTGGCCAATGGTATATATTTAATAATGTAATTATTATAGGATTTTGAAAATAAAAAATTTTCTCCAGTAAACCCAATGGAACCAGGTACTTCATAAAATTTTGATAACTATTGTGATGTTTTACTGTTATTGATTGAACTCTGTTATTGAGTTCTCAATCTTTTATTACACTAGTTTTGTTTCTCTGCATATTTTTTAAAACCATATCTGGTCGGGCACAGTGGCAAACATCTGTAATCCCAATAACTCAGGAGGCTGAGGCTGGAGTGTCTCAGGTTCGAGGCCAGCCTCAGCAACTTGTGAGGCCCTAAGCAATTTAGTGAGACCCTGTCTCAAAATAAAAAATAAAAAGGGCTGGGGATGTAGCTCAGTAGTAAAGCACCTTGGGTTCAATCCCTAGTACCCAAAACAACAAAAACTAAAACCAAAAACAAACAAAAAATACATATATTTGTGTGTGTGAATAGATATATGTGTGTGTATACAGATACATATATATCTATATATCCAAAAACATATTAAGAGAAAAATATTTTTCCAACTTCCTTAATATGTATTTGGATGGGACAAAATCTCTCTTATTATTTTATTGAAGAACTCTACCAGAGTTTCCCATTAATTTATTTTCCTTTTTGGGGCATATTATTATTAATAATTTTTAAATTCTGATTTGTTATATATGACAACAGAATGTATTACAATCCATATTACATATATAGAGCTCAAGTTTTCATATCTCTGGTTGTATACAAAGTATATTCACACCATTCGTGTCTTCATACATGTACTTTGGATAATGATGTCCATCACATTCCACCATCATTTCTAACCTCCTGCCCCCTCCCTTCCCCTCTAACCCCTTTGCCCTATCTAAAGCTGGTCTATTCCTCCCATGCTCCCCCTCCCTACTCTACTATGAAACAGCTTGATGCTGGTGTTTTAATGAATCATGATAATAGCCATTATTTATTATCAGGTGGTTATATGTGCCCAATACTGTTAAAACACTTCATGAACTAGATTTCTTTTTAAAGTCATGTTTGTTGAGATATAATTTATATATGGTACAATTTGCCCTATTTAGTTTTATAGTTATATGAACTTTGATAACAAATATAAAAATTGACAACATATAAATATGGATAGATAGTACTACAGTGAGGATACAGAATATGTTACCTTGTTCTCCTTTACTTCTTTCTTTTTTTTAACAAATAGAGAAATTAATTTTAATATATTTTCATTTAACCCAATGGATTACCAACATAATTTGCAAAGAAAATAATTGTTAGATATTTCATGTTCATTTTCTTTGTCCTAGTAATTCTTTGGAATCAAATGTCTATTTAACACATAACACACCTCAATTCAGACTAGACACATTTCAAATACTCAGTGGCCTCCTGTAACCAATGGCTGCCATATTGGCTCCTTTCTCCATCTTTCACCTATTGGTGAGACATATGCTGTAGGCTGCATGATAAGTCCCCTTGTTATGTGGTTTCTTGTTGAGTTCCATCAGAAAGGAACACCAAAGAGATGAGCTTAGAAGATACAAGAGTAGAATGAGGTGTTTTATTCCTCCCTATAAGACTCTGTTAGACTGTGAATTGATTTCTACATGCTTTTGGTGGGAATAACTTCAGTTAGGTCACCTTCTCCTACAAATTTTTCATAATGACTCTCTTCTTTCACCTCCTACCTCTCCATGTTTACGGAAGGAAAGGTGCTTCACAAAATTTGCTAGTTTCCCTCAACCTTGCCCTTACCTTTATAAATACCTTATTAAATAATTTTTACTCTGATTGATCTTTTTCATCCTTGAATCTTGAATAATATTATTTTTATATATATATATATATATATATATATATATATATATATATATATAAAATATATAAATGTATAAAATGCTAACATTTTTAAAGAAAATATAATAATAAATATATATAAATATAATAATAAATTACTTGCACCTTCAATGCCACCTCTGGTATCTGGGCCATCATCTCTCGTGTCATTTATTGTCAAATCCTTATTACTGGTTTGCCCTCTTGAATTGGTTCTCTACTCTGAATTAATAAAGTGTCTACCCCTTTAAAAAAATTATGATACAGTAAAATTAACATTTCTAGACGTATAGTTCCATGTGCCATCCCTTTGTAATCACACCTTCCCCCTTCCCTTAGCCCATGGCAACCATGGATCTGTTCTTCATCTGTAACATATCTTCGTAAATATATTTTTAGTTGTTGATAGACCTTTATTTTATTCACTTATTTATATGCACTGCTGAGAATCGAACCCAGGGCCTCACACATGCCAGGCAAGTGCACTACCACTGAGCTACAACCCCAGCCCCTGTAATATGCCTTTTAATGGCTACTTTTTTGTGTTACTCTCCCTTCTTTAAAAATCCTTCCTTAGCTTTTGACTGCTAAGAGCATTGTCCCTTTTCTTTTCAAAATATTTTCTTAGTTGTCAGTGGTTATTTATTTATTTATTTATATGCAGTGCTAAGAATTGAGCCCAGAGCCTCATACACGCTAGGCAAGTGCTCTACCACTGAGCCACAACTCCAGCCCACAGTGTCCCTTTTCTAACTTTGAGCTTCCTCTTTCACTATTTCTTTTCTCACCTAACATCATTCATCACTCTAAAGTTCTGGTCAGACTGAACATCTCTTTGCTGTTTGTTTTTTTTAATTGAGCCTTTAATTTTTTTTAATTTTAATTTTTTGGTACTGGGGATTGAATCCAGGGGCTCTGTGTCACTGAGCAACATCCTCAGCCCTCTTTATTTTTTGAGGTAGGGTCTTGCTAAGTTGCTGAGGCTGGCCTCCAACTTGCAATTCTCCTGACTCAGCCTCCCCAGTCAGTGGGATTACAGGCATATACCACGATGCTGGGTCTCTTTACTGCTTTAATACACTATTTTCTTTCTTTCTTTTAATATTTATTTTTTAGGTGGACACAATATCTTTATTTTTTATTTTTATGTGGTGTTGAGGATCGAACCCAGCACCCCGCGCATGCCAGGCGAGCGCGCTACCGCTTGAGCCACATCCCCAGCCCTAATACACTATTTTCTTTGCTAGTTTCAGGACTTCCCACATTTCACTCTGATATTAAAGCTTTGGTTAATTTGGATCTTAGCTTGAGTGCTCCTTCAACCAGGAGGCCTTCTTTATTCATATTAGGTTGATTGTTAATATTTGATGCTTTGTCTTTCAGAGTACTTTCCAAACATTGATCAATTATTTTATTCAACCATATTTCCTCGCAGACTGTAAGCTGCAAGAAGCAGGGGCTCTGCCCTTTCTTGATTTGCCACTGAATCTCTAGCTCCCAGTACCTAGCAGGAACTTGACAAACATTTTTTAGTAAATGAGTGAATGTATTTTGTGTGTACTACTCAATTTACTTTTTTATTAACATGAGATGCATGTTTTAATGGTTTTCAATTGCAGAACAAACATGGAGAAACATAATTCATCTTTGGTGGAGGATTTATCTCACCCAGACTTAGTCTTCAACATAGGAAAAGTGACTCTTGGTGAAAGAAACAGAAACAAGATGCAGAAAACTCGGAGAGAGCAAGAGAGAGTGAACATTCTACAGGCTGCATGTGCTTTATTAAACTCAGGAGGAGGAGTGATTCAGATGGAAATGGCAAACGAAGATGAACAGCCAGTGGAGATCGGACAGGACTTGGAAGAGGCACTGAGAGACCTTATTCAATCTTCAGATTTGCAGGCTTTCTTCGAATTCAAGTACCAAGGAAAGTGTTTTTACATTTTTGTTAAATCTTGGAGCAGTGCCCCTTCACCTGAAGACAGTTCCCCGAAGCCTCGCATTTGCAGCCTGAGCTCCTCACTGCGCCGTAGATCTGGCACTTCTGTGATCCTCATGAAGTCAAGAGAGGCGTTTGATTTCCTAGTAACCAGGAAAAAGAGTGTAAAATGTAGTCTGAGTCATGAAGGACTTTCACAGAGTAAAATTCCCAGAGCTGTACATCAGAACGTTTTTGAATCAGATCTTGCTTTCAAATTATTCCAAAGCGACCGACTTAAATATGATGACATCCTACCTTTTCCTGAGTCTCAATCTGTAGAGTTTAAGCAGTTCTCTACAAAAAACATACAAAAATATGTAAAAAGCCTAATTCCAGAGTACATCCCTGCATTTGCAAACAGTGGTGGAGGCTATCTTTTTGTTGGGGTGGAGGATCAAAGTAGGAAAGTCCTAGGATGTGCAAAAGACCAGGTTGACTGTGCATCTTTGGAGACAGCCATAGCAGATGCAGTTTCAAAGCTGCCCATCGTCCATTTCTGCTCTTCTGAAGCGCAGTTGTCTTATAGGACCAAAGTCATAGATGTGTTTCATGGGGAAAACTTGTACGGTTATTGCTTTGCAATTAAAGTGGAACCATTCTGTTGTGTGGTGTTCTCAGAAGCTCCCATTTCATGGATGGTGAATGATAGGAAAACCATCTACAGCCTGACGGCTGAGAAATGGGTAGACATGATGATGTACTCTCCTGGTTCATGGATGGTGAATGATAGGAAAAACATCTACAGCCCGACAACTAAGAAATGGGTAGACATGATGGACGCTGATCCAGGTAAGGGGCAGAAAGCTCCTCCTTTCCTGTCCTTTCTGCCTCTTGGGCAACTCCATATTACAGTTTTCCTTTGTTTCCTGTTACTCTGGAAATCTTACTAAGTGTTTTGATTCTCCAAGTACCTTGCTTTTCATACAAGAGAAAGTTTTGTTGGGTAGATCAGAAACCTAAATCAGTTGTCGAATAGTGAAAATTTTCCACATTAGAAGTTGAAAAGAAAAATATTTGGGGGAGGTTGCCCTTGAAGTGATGTTCTAGAACTGGCTTTTATTGGCTCTAAGGTAAATTTTTAAATTTTAAGAGCTGGCTGTTAAACACTGTCATTATGAGTAGTTGTTATTTTTTTTAAATTTTATTTTATTTTTGGCCAGGGATTGAACTCAGGAGCACTTGACCACTGAGAGACATCCCCAGCCCTATCTTGTATTTTATTTAGAGACAGAGTCTCACTTAGTTGCTTAGGGCCTCACCATTGCTGAGGCTGGCTTTGAACTCACAATCCTCCTGTCTCAACCTCCTGAGCTAGGAATACAGGTGTGTGCCACCACACCTGGCTGTTTTTGTTTTTGTTTTATTTGTTTTTGGTGGTGCTGGGGATTGAACCCAGGGCCTTACACATGCTAGGCAAGCACTCTACTAACTGGGCTACATCTCCAGCCTCTAGGCATAGTTAAGTTTTAATATATGATTGCAATTAAATAATGTATATTACAAACATTATTTATGAGTTACTGTACTAATACAAACTCACCACTTCATAATTATTTCCTAAGTTTTACTATCATCTATGCTTGTGTGGTCATTTATATCTACTGTGTCTGTGTGGTGGAAATACTATAAAATGGAGTGCTACTGTGCATTTCTTTCTTTTTTAAAAATATCTGTTTACTTGTCAATGGACCTTTATTTAATTTATTTTTTTGTATGTGTTACTGAGAAGCCAACCCAGTGCCTCACATATGCTAAGCACTCTACCACTAAGCCACAATACCAGCCCTGTTACTGTGCGTTTCTTCCCAACTCTGCGTTTAATGACATTATATGGATGGTTTGAAATTGTCCATGGTGGGAATATTTACAACCACAGAAACAAGCAGTTGGCTGCAAATGAAAAAATCTTTTCTCAACTAGACCTGGTTATTCGACTTTTACTAGCATAGTGCCATTTCCTTGGATTGGCCACTTGAAATATTTAAAATCCTTTGGATTGAAGTTTGCTGTAACCTCATAATAGTACCTCTGCCTAAGTTAAGATGCCTTCTGTGTCTTGATCCTTGGAGACCTTAGTGACTTTGCAGTTCAGGAAAACCTGAAAGTAGCTCAGGGTGATGAAGGCCTTCCCAATGCCAGGTCTGTCCTCAGTACCCTCACATTCTTCCTGATCTGCTTGTGCTCTAAATAATTTGTCTTTACCTCCACTCATCATCATGCACCCACTATGCACAAGCCATAACCTGATCTACTATTCTGCTTCTAACAATTTTCCTTACTTGGCATTACTGTTGCTTCCTAAGCTTGTTTGCATATTTTTCTTATCATTCTATAATTTGGTGGATTAGTGGGATATCTCAGTCTTTCTAGAATGACTGAGAATTTGCCAAGCCTGGAGAGACACAGAGAATCATATAAAATCTGGGACACAGTCTTTTGTGTGACATAAATAGCTTGTTGGATTTCCATCTCCAAAACAAGTGGAAGAACTTAATAATGCAGTTCCTAATGTCCTTTGATTTTTATACCTTATACCTTTAGGAATAAACATAGGTGTCTGTCTGTCATTGAGATTTTTACATGAGTTTCTTGTTCCTGATATTTTCAATGGAAGTCTTTTTGCTTCACACAAGTACTCCAGATAGGTAGAAGTAAACATTCATAAACACAACTACCATGGTCTTGGAAAGTTTATGTAAAAATAAATTGAGCTTATTTTAACTACTTAAAAATCGACTTAAATGTGGTTAGGGTTATGGCTCAGTAATAGAGTGCTTGCTTCGCATGTGCAAGGCCCTGGGTTCGATCCTCAGCACCACATAAAAATAAATAAATAAAGTTATAAAAATTTATATAAAAAATCAATTTAAAGAAATGATTTGTACCCATATATCTTCTGAGTAAGCTGAGAGTATGTCATGGTTCAACCTGGAAAATAGTAGTGATTTAAGTGAGTGAATGAGAATGTGGCTAGTGAATGTCACCTAAGCATTTTCTGTTAGGGGCTTGTTGAAATTCTAAAATGTGATGATCCTTGTGCTCTATGCTGCAGGGGATATAAGGTAAGGAAAAGTTTATGCTTCTAAGGGCCTTCATTCATTCATTCATTCTTTCTTTCCTCACATTTCTTATTGGTGCATTATAGTTAATTCATTTTTTCATTCATTAATTTAAGAAATATTTATACTAGAAATATCTACACAGATCCAAAGCAGACCTAGTTCCTGACCTTCGTGCAACTTAGTCTATCAAAGATGATAATCATTTAATCAGTCCCTAAACTAATAAATATATCATTAGAGTTGTTATAATGACTACTAGAGGAAAATACATGGAACTATAGAATATTTAACAGAGATGAGAGTTGGGTGCAGGGAAGGTAGTGAAGGATAGAGGGGTGATATAAAGTAAGACACACCAACACAGATGTGGGGACTAAAAGTATGTGCTATGTGTCATGAGAGACATATGAACATAATGCTATCCTGACCGAGAATGAAGAATAATATTGAATGGAGAGATACAAATTTCCAAATAATGGCTCTTCAGTGGAAGATTTTGGCCATGTTAATACACAATAAAACTCTGTCTAGACACATGAGTGGGGAGTTGTCTCTATCATCTCTCAAGTCACACCACCAAGAAAATCATATATCCACCCACTGGTAAGGTCTCTTTCCGTCATGAGGGGATGAACTGAAATCTCAGAATAACATGAGTTTTCTTTCTTTGTGAAGATCTTCTGTGCTTGTCCAAAGACTTTGAATCTCAGCTGAACCTATCTAGTGCATCTCCTCTCAGCAGACCTGTGTACTCCAAGAAAGGCCTGGAACATAAAGAGGATCTCCAGAGAATCTTATTTTCAGGTAGTAACTATGGTTTGACTACTTGACACCAGTCAGTTTTTATGTTATGATAAAGGGAGACAGTTTGTCATGTTTGTGTTTTGAAAACTGCAAATTCTTATGTCCAAAGTGATTGTTCCAAGCTTATAGGTGATAGGTGATTTACTCCCCCACCCCAGGGCTGGGGATCAAACCCAGGGCCTTGCACATACTAGGCAAGCAACCTATACCCAGGCTACATCCTCAGCCCTGGTGAGAGGTGGTTTGGAAGTGAACCCTCACTGACCTCATAGACTAAGGCAGCATAGCACATAGAATCCAGGATTATTATTTCCAGTTATGAAACTTCCTAGGACAATTGACAAACAATGTCTTTTCTTATTTTCTACTTCATTTGTTTTTCAAAGCTCCATTCCAAACATATTCTTCAATTACTCTATTTTATACAGTGAGCAAAATAATTACCAAAGGAATAGGAGCAACTGCATTTAAAATAACCACTACAAATCTTTTATTTATTTATTTATATGTGGTGCCGAGGATCAAACCCAGGGCCTCATACATGCCAGGCAAGAATTCTACCACTGAGCCACAATTCCACTCCTACAAATCTTGATTCTCATATATATACTTTCATATCATCTCGACAGGATGAAAAACAATATCTTCCTCCCTTCCTTGGAGCACATGATCATTGAAATAAGTTTGAAACCCTAAAGTGCAAATTTATGCTCGCCTCCCATAATTGTTCCTGTTGCCTGAAGCAAAGGGAAACTTTTGTGATAGACAGAGCCCCACCATGATAGTAAGGGACAGAAACAAGAGTTCTGCTTCAGGAGGTACCTAAGGGCCTAGCCTAAAGGTCTTCCAGCCCAGAACTGCAAGAAATTCCCTGCTCAACAAGGTTTTACATCGGGGCAGGGTCTGGTGGCTCTGGAGGAGCCTACAGGCCTGGCACGTGAGAGGGACTGGGTTTGATCCACAGCACCACATAAAAATAAAATCAAGGTATTGTGTCCACCTACAACTAAAAAAATACATACTTAAAAAAAATAGAGCTGGTGATGTGGCTCAGTGGTCAAGTGCCCCTGAGTTCAATCCCTGGTACCAAAATAATAATAATAATAATAATAATAATAATAATAATAATAAAAAATAAAGGTTTTACATTGACTCTATCTTCTCACAAACATAGTGTTAAAGAGCATCTTATTCCTGGAAAGGCTATTTCTACTCCCATCATAAAGATTTTCAGGGACATTTTGGGATTCAGATACTTGGAGTAGATAGAGGAAGGATAGGGAGCATTACCATTTCTCCAGTAGCCATGATGAGCTGGACACTTTCTGCTATTTCATTTATTACTCCCCATAGAACGTGTGCTTTGTTAGTTTTATATATATATACATATTTCTCTGATGGACCTTTATTTTATTCATTTTTTTTAATAGGTGCTGAGAATTGAACCCAGTGCCTCACATATGCTAGGCAAGTGCTCTACCACTGAGCCACAACCCCAGCCCTGTGAGTTTTCTTTTATAGGAGAGGAATCAGTGTCTTACAAAGGTTAGGGAATTTTTCAAGACATTGAAATAATAGACACATGGATTTAGATGAGGTATGTCAGATATTCCAAGGCATCTTTTTCCTTGTAATATAATGATATTCACAAAAATATTTTTAAATCTGTCATTAACCACCATCATCATAATCAACCAGTTAATTATGATTAAATATAATTAATAATTACTATAAATATATATATATTTTTTTGTCTCCCAAATTATCATTCTTTCTACGTGTAGTGCCACGAGAAAATTTGCGATACACTCCTGAATCCGTCTGGAAGGAGCTGTTCTCACAGCATGAAGGTCTGAAGGCGTTAATAAGTCAGCAAATGCATCCTTTCTCCCAGGGAATTCTGATCTTCTCTAGAAGCTGGGCTGTGGACCTGGACTTGCAAGAGAAGCAGGAAGTCATCTGTGATGCTCTGCTGATTGCTCTGAACAGCCCCCCTACCCTCTACACTGTTCTCAGGGATCAGGATGCAGAGGGCCAGGCCTACTGCACCCAGACTGCATTTACTTTGAAACAGAAGCTGGTAAACATGGGTGGCTACACTGGGAAAGTGTGTGTCATGACCAAGGTTCTCTGCCTGAGTCCCAGGAGCAAACCAGAGACCACAGAGGGGTCGGGCTGTCTGGTAGATTATCCTTCGTCCTATTACCTTAGAGACACTCAGCAAATGGAAGCCTTGCTGCAGGCTCTTGTGATTGTCTTGCTTGGCTTCAGATCTTTCTTGAGTGACCAGCTTGGCTGTGAGATTTTAAATCTGCTCACAGTCCAACAGTATGAGATATTATCAACAAACCTCCGTAAGAACAGACACTGGTTTGTCCATGGCTTGCCTGGCTCCGGGAAGACAGTCATGGCCATGAAAATCATGGAGAAGATCAGGAATATGTTTCACTGTGAGAAAAATAATATTCTCTACATTTGTGAAAACCAGCCTTTGAAGAACTTTATCGGGTAAGCAGTTAGATCTTATACCTATGTGTTATTTAATCAGGGATTATTTTTCTACTAAGCCACTTTGTTCCTTGAGAAATTATTTGTGACAGTAGTACTATATTCAGGGGAACACAAAAGAGTGATTTTTCTCCTTCACAAAATGAAGAAAACTGAGTGTGTCGTTTTCGTTATTACAGGAATAAACAGATCTGTGAGGCAGTGACCCGGAAAACCTTCATGAAGAAGGAGGACTTTAAAGATATTCAACACATCATTGTGGATGAAGCTCAGAATTTCCGCAAAGAAGATGGGGACTGGTATGGGAAAGCAATTGCCATCACTCAGAGGGAAAAGGAACATCCAGGAAATCTCTGGATCTTTCTGGACTATTTTCAGACCAGCCACTTGGATGTTAGTGGTCTCCCTCCTCTCTCATCCCAGTATCCAAGAGAAGAGCTCACAAGAGTGGTCCGCAATGCAGATCAAATAGCCCTATACCTAAAAAAACTGATGAAGAACATTAAAAAGAATCCACCACGTAACATCCCCCGTAGATCCTTGGAGATGCTTCCTGAAGCTGAATGGGTTCGGGATGTCCAGGGAATCTTAAAGATTCAGAAAAATTTGACTCAGACTCAAATCGTGAACTTTGTGGCAGACACCTGCAAGGGGCTGTTTGAAAAGGGGTATACATTCAAAGATATTGCTGTGCTTGTCAGTACCACAGAAGAAGTGAATGACTACAAGTATGACCTCCTAAGGGCGATGAGGAAGAAAAGGATGGTGCAGTTCTGCGATGCAAGTGGCGTATTGAGCGATCACATCGTGTTGGACAGTGTCCGTCGGTTCTCAGGCCTGGAAAGGAACATTGTGTTTGGGATCCATTCAAAGACAGCCGAGCCTCCTATCTTAAACAATATTCTGGCCTGTCTGGCTTCCAGGGCAAAGCAACAGCTCCATATTCTGTTTTGTGATAACTTTTACAAAGAACCTCAACCTGAAATGGGTTAAGACAACTACTCTGGAGATATCTGTGTCTGTTTGGTTTTGCAGAAACTTTTCTCTTTGGTTCACAGGTCAGATTAGGGCAGAGTTGGGAACTGCTTCTGTCCTGCTTACTCCTTTCAAAGAGATTATTTCCAGAACTCTTTCCAAAGACTGTGGTTTCCTCCAGTTCCATTCTTCCTGTTAGATAGGTGATAGCATTCAAGGGAACTTTAGCTGCCCTGCAGGGTAGACCAGTGTGCCGGAGTTAGGGTGAAAACCATGAAAACAAGAAACAGCTCCTCTAGCCTATCTTTCTTTAAAGTCTAGACTTTTTCATTGTGACTACACATAGTTTTTGTTTTTTAAAAATTTATCCAATTACCACTTGTTTTCTGAAGAAGGATAGTCGGTTAAAAAGTCACTTGTTCATTGTGGAAGCATAAGTTGTTTCTTGAATTCTTTTTTTTTTTATACTATCATTTATTTATTTTTTGGTTCTGGTGATTAACCCCAGGGGCACTCTACCACTGAGCTCCATCCTCAGCCCTTTTTATTTTTTATTTGGACTCAGGGTCCGGCTAAGTTGTGCAAGGCAGCCTCAAACTTATAATCACACTTCTTCAGCCTCCCAAGTTGCTGATTACAGATGTGAGCCATTGCATCTGTCCTTCAATCCTGGGGTCCTCTAACTTCAACAAAATAGGACAAATCAGCAAAATAGGGAGGGAAATATTGCTTCTTTCTTAGTGCATTAAATCAGATATAACTCAGGCCCATCTCACAGATCCTGCTTCATCCCTGGGGTTATCCATTTCTCCAAAAAGTCCTGCTTCCTTCATGGAGAATGGTAATAGAAACCAAAATCTGGACATTGCCTATGCTGGTTGCTACTTGTTAGCTTACTTTGTTGTTGCTGGCTTTTTCCACTGTCACTGTATGTGGCAGCACTGTCCAACCACATGTAGCAAATGATTCCTTGCAGTGTGGCTGGTCCAAATGGAGATGTGTAAATATGCATGCAAACTGGATTCAAAAATTTGGTATGAAGAATGAAAATATCCCCTTCATCATCCTTTTATAATGATTATATGTTCAAATGATCATATTTTGGAAGTGTTGAGTTAAATAAGAAATAGTATCAAAAGCAATTGTGCCTGCTTAGCTTCTAAATTTTTTTAATGCAGAAAGTTTTAAACTACATATGTAGTTTGCATTATATTTCTGTTGAGCAGCACTAGTGTGTGCATTGTTAAAAATGAGACTTTTCAATGCTCGACTAGAGCAGAGGACTCAGTAGGGTGGAGGGAGAAGAGGACTTTGTCCTTCAAGGCACATAATGTCTAGGGTTATTTTTAGTTGTCACAACTTAAGGGGAGTGTTAATGGTACCTAACGGGTAAAGGCAGGCATACTGATAAACACCCTACAATGTACAGGATAGCACCCTACAACAAAAATTTCCCAACCCAAAGTATCAAAAGGGCTGAGTCTGGCAAATCCTGATGTGCCTAGTTCCGTCCCTTAAATAAGTATTCCAGGTTGGAGTTCTTCCCTTATGATACTTGAGGCCTGAAGGACTGAGGCATCCTGTTTTGTATTGCTAGTGAATTGCTATTTGGAATGAAGAGTCCTGGGGGATCCTGTGACCCCAATAGGGATTCTACCTTTCTCAGATGCTGAAGTAATATAGTTGCAAAAGATTTTTATTCCTTATGAAGTGTAGGCAATGCCAAGGTGAAATAAAGGAAGTGGTGTCCTTGAATAATAGCTTATCTTTAGAGGCTTAGTGTTTCTTAAACTCTGTGGAAGTATATTGATCCATTGCAACATATTGCTAAGTGCTTATATAAATCTAGTAGTGGGGGTTTCTGAGATTCTCAGGGGGAAATAAGAAATTCATATCTAAACGGTTTTATTCTTTAAATAAGCTAACTCTTTAAGAAACACTCCAGGCACGGAGAAAATAAGAATGTATAAGCTGAATGGTCATTCCCAAGACATGAGTCTCTAAAACTTGCACAAACATATTAAATGCATTGGTTAGTCTGATGAATCTCTTCAGAACTCTGAATCTCATGATGCTTTCTGGTTATAAAAAACAAAAACATTACAATTGCAAAACTCTTTACTGAACAGTAAAATCAGAGTAGAATAAAAAAACATGAAAATTAATATGAAAATAAATAGTAAAGTTTAAACAATATTTATTCCCTCAAATTTAAGCCATTCATCGCTCTAGAAACATTTTGGTTGAGATATAGGAACATGTGCTTCCAGGAATGTAATCCCAGTGCTGATAAAGAAGACATCTAAATTAACTTTTACCTGGAAATGAATAGTACTTAAGAATTTAGGAATCCTTTCTCTATTAAGACTTGGAGTGAAGATTTGGAAGGCTCTGTTGTTATGTAGTAAAGATAAATAGGAAAGAATCAAATGTGGTGCTTCTAATTAAGGAATTGCCTTTGTGAAAATTGTTCTCTTAATTCAAGGAATACAAAATGGTGATTTTCTCTGTGATGTTCCAAAGTGTGAATAAAGATGCAAGGAAGACATTTTCAGGACTTTTGGATTGCTTTGGAATTTCCAAAACAGCTCCACATAGCTAGGAGGTCAGATGGGTACATTAAATATGGCAATAGGAGACCCTAATCATGTCTTTCTATTGAGCTGAACTATAATGAATATGACTACCATCAGTTTACATGGGGTTTTGATAACCTAGAAAAAATGGCCAAAACCTGGGCCTACAGAGATAATCTTATTCCATCAGGGTGATTTTTTAAGCTGTCCAATCTCTCTGATGAAATATTTTGAGGCCCCAGTGACATTTTACAGAACGGGATGGGTGACCTCTAGCAGCTGTCACCCAGAATCACTTAGTCCCCTCAGCTGAAGACCTGGGGAGGGTGCAGAGAGGAGACCTGAAGGCAGTTCTGCTTTCAACCAGCAGGGAAGAAAAACAAGCGCTGATCTCGTCCAGACCTGGAGATAGCAGCAAACCTCGGTCTCCCACCGGGACAGCGATACCAGGTAGGTACTGTAAATACCCCGTGGACTTGGGGCAGGACTGAGCTCCAGCTTCCACTGGCTCCTGCCAAGAAGAAGGGGAGGAGGTCTGGTGGGAGAGGAAGGAGACAGGGCCTGGGTGGGAGAGTGGCAGTAGAGAAAAGGGAGGAGGCGGGAGGAGCCCCCAGGACGCTTCGGTTAAAGTAGAATTTCACTTCCAAAGCGGGATCTGGATGCACCGGTGGTGGAGTACCTTTTTGTACATCGAGACATTTTACGATAAAAATTTAGGTATCATTCTGAACCTCATTCTCCCTCTACCCGGTTGAGTAGGACGTGTTTTCCAGGTGTCAGGTGGCGCCCTTAGTTCCCGAGGAGTTCCCCTCCCCGTGGTGACAACTCCTCGATCCCAGTGTTAGGTGTGATTGTGATAAATCACAGAGTCAGTCTCAAAGCAGGAGATGGAACCTTTATTCACCAGCTGGCCGGAAGAGGGCAGGCTGCAAGTCTGCACTCTTTGATTAAAAAACCACAAAGAAAAATCATGAGATCTAAAATCATAAGCAGAGGGGGAAGTGGGTCAAAACCCTAGTTGAGTACAATTTAAAGGATGGTTACTAACGTCTAAACAAACATTCTCTGACATTCTGTGCGGTTAGGGTACATTGCACAAGTATAGTGTATAAGAATTGCCATTTTGTGTTGCCAAATGTGCTACGCTAAGCAACTACTGGTGGGTACAGAGGTGGGTTTTCCCATGGGAGAAGCATTTCTTACATGACATGGAGTTTCAGGGTAAAATGGAGTCTGGTCATTGCCCATATAGCCTGGCCCATAACACCAGGAGACTCTAATCCCCAGCCCTGCAAAGGGCAGAACCTCAGGACCTGCCCCTGTGCCTAGATTTCTCCACGGAAAATTTAATGATGCCCCCACAAGACGCTGCAGATGCTGCACATAGCTCTTTTTTTTTTTTTTTCAGATGAGTTTCTCTAAGCTCTTTCATTTACTTGTGAGCTTCAGATTTTCCCAAATCTTGGCAGATCTAGGGTCCTAACCTTGACCACTTATCAGTGAACTACAAGGTAGAACCCTCTGGGATTCGATTCTGGCCTGGATTTTAGCTCTGGGGAAAAAAATGAATGAGTGGGCACCAAGCTTTGCATCCCTGGAGCTGAGGAGGACCACAAAGCCTTGAGGGGTAGGAAAGGAGGCACAGCCGAAGCTTCTGCCACCATGCCCCTCCCAGCTGGAGTCAAAGAGGTTGAGAGTGAAGAGATGGCTGTCCCTCACCACCAGCAATGCTTTGAGGGGATCTTGTCCTTGGCATTCTTGGCAAGTGCCAAACTGAGCCAGGACCTTGAATGAAAGATGATCCTCCCATGGAGCCTTTGCTATAGTCATGCCCATTGCTTAGCCAGGGTGATGTGTTCTGAGAAATGCTGGTCAGGTGATTTGAATTTCCTAGTGGAAGAAGCATCATGGAGTAGTGACACAAACATATATGGTGTAGCCTATGCTCCTAGGCTACACTTTCACAGAATGCTGCTGTGATATACTGAAGAATTGTAACACAAATGGTTCCTTGTGTATCTGAACATATTGAAACACAGAACAGGTACAATAATAAGAGTATGCCTAAGAATTTTTCAGCTTCTTTACACTATTATAGGACCACTGTGGGATACAGTTGTTGTTAAACAATAGGTAGCTATTCAGTGCATGATAGTATATTTATTATTATTTTTTTGTACTGGGGATTGAACTCAGGGGCACTTCACCACTGTGCCAACATCCCCAGCCCTATATTGTATTTTATTTAGAGACAGGGTCTCACTGTGTTTCTTAGTGCCTCACTTTTGCTGAGGGTGGCTTTGAACTTGAATCCTCCTGCCTCAGCCTCCTGAGCTGCTGGGATTACAGGTGTGCACCATGGAGCACAGCTTATTATATCTACTTTTATAAATAGCTATAATTGACATGTTAAACTGCACATTTAAAATATACCATCTGATGGGGCTGGGGTTGTAGCTCAGTAGTAGAATGCTCGCATACCATGTGTGAGGCACTGGGTTTGATCCTCAGTACCATATAAAAATAAAATAAAAGTATTGAGTTCACCTACAACTTTCATATATATATATATATATATATTATTTTTTAAAAAAAATACCATTGGATGAATTTTGACATATATAAAAACATTTGCAACTGTTACCACATTTAAGACAATGAAGATTTTAGAGCTGGCTAGGATGAGGAAAGAGAGGCTCTGGTCTATGGTACAAAATGGAAGGGGGCACCAAAAAAAAAAAAAACAACCCCAAACAACAACAACAAAAACCCAACTTCTCAGTAATCAAGATAAGAAATACTTTTTTATAGCTTTATTTTATTCATTTATTTCATGTGGTGCTGAGGTTGGAACCCAGGGTGTCACACGTGCTAGGCAAGCACTCTACCACTGAGGCACAACCCCAGCCCAAGATAAGCAATACTTTAAAAATCAGAGTCAACATAAATGCCCATGATGAATAAAATGTGAAAATTTAAATACAGCAGGACATACCCCCCTATTGCAGGATTTGCATCATTCTCCTTACCCTTACTATACCAGTCCCTCCTTCCTGTAGTTTAGATCTGGAATGTCCCCAGGTGTTCAAGGCTTGGTTTCCAGCCAGCGGTGCTACTGGAGTGTAGAGGAAACTAAAAACTTGTGCATTTAGGTCATTGGGGGCATGCCCTAGAAGGGGTTATGGGACCACCATGTCTTCTCCTTTCTCACCAGTGCTTCCCCTACCACAGGCTCCCTACCATGATATTTTGCCTCTCGCAGACTCAAGGCAACAGGTCCACCTCTAAAACTGTGAGTCAAAATATCAACTCCTTTTTAGGAGTTGATTATCTCAGGTATTTGTTACAAAAGGGAAAGCTGATCAACAGCCCTATCCTTGAGGAGTCCCCTACTTTCCCTTGCTCCCTTCCTGTGTCCTGAATCAGATGAGATGGAGTGTCAGGTATAAGAAATTTAGATGGATAAAGATCCATGATAGGAGGGGGGAGGAAGCAGAATTGAGCAGAGAAAGAAGTTGGACTATAAGGCTGGACTATGACACCCTGGCAGCGTGCAGTGGAATGAAAAGAGCCCTGCTTTGGGCTGAATGGCTGGCGTGGATACCAATTGTAAACTTGCTCATGACCACTAGCAAGGTTTCTCTGCAGCTGAGTCAAGCTGACATTTGGAGGCTGTCTGCTGAATGTCCTCTCCAAACCTAGGCACCAAATCCTTTTCTTGAAAGGGAATCTGGGTGAAGAAGTAAGGCATTCAAATAAACTTTCATCCAGAAATGTGTAGTACTTAATTAATTTAATAATCCTTTATCTACCAAGACCTCAAATGGATATTTGGAAGATTGTGTTATGTAGTAAAATAAATGGAAATGAATCAAATGTTATGTTTCTAATTGAGGTGTCCTCTTTGAGAAAATGATTTAATGAATTCAAGGAAGGCAAAGTAGTTATTTATCTTCTTTGTGATGTTTCAAGGCAAGAATAAAGATGCAAAGAAGGGACTGGGGTGGTGGCTCAGTGGTAGAGTGCTTGCCTAGCATGTGCAAGGCACTGGGATCGATTCTCAGCACCACATATAAATAAATGAATAAAATAAAGATCCATCAACAATTTTTAAAAAAAGACACAAAGAAGATTTTTTTTCAAGACTTTTGGATTGCTTTGGAATTTCCAAAATAACTCCATGTAGCTATGAGGTCATATGAGTATATTACCTGATTAAATATGCCAATACGATACCTTAAATGTGGCCTTGACTGAGCTGTGACAGAAATGACTAACAGGTTTACATTTTTTTTTTAAACATCACTTAGTTGAGATTTTTTCAAGACCTGAAAATATTCAGACTAATCAAAATAGAATTACTGTAATTTCTTTTCTTTTTTTTTTTTTTTTTGTACTGGAGATTGAACCTAGGGGTGCTTAACCACTGAGCCACATCCTCATCCATTTTGTCATTTTATTTAGAGACGGTCTCACTCAGTTGCTTAGGGCCTCCCTAAATTGCAGAGGCTTGCTTTGAACTCACGATCCTCCTGCCTTAGCCTCTGGAGCCTCTGGGATTACAGGCATGTGCCACTACTCAGGGCTGAAATTTCTTATAATACATAAAAACTTAACATAAAACTTTAAACAATGTAGACACAATTAACAAACCCCTAAACATACCATACAATTTTTAAAGGCAATGGCATTTTAGAAGATGAAAGGTGACAAGAGAACATCAAAGAACTTCCACATACTCAATGAGAACACAACAGCCACCCATCTTCACACTTTCCATGTTTGTTTTTAACTTTGTTTCTTAAAGTCAGTGATAATGAAGGCTTCTGTCAAGTATAAGATTTTTAAAATTTATATATAACAGCAGAATGCATTACAATTCTTATTATATTTATAGAGCTCAAGTTTTCATATCTCTGGTTGTATACATAGTAACTCACACCAATTCCTGTCCTCATACATGTATCAAGTA